TTATATAAGAACTTATCTAGAATACTTAATATAACTTATTCTAAAATCTTAGCTAATTTACTTTAGTATTTTATTTCTTATAAGTATCTTATAAATACTAGATAGCCTTATAAATTAGATTAAGAAATTTAGGAATCTATAACTATTTATAACTATTTATAAATATTTATATCTATTTATAAATAACTTATAATTATTATTTTAAATATTTTAGGATTTAAATAAATTAAGAATATTATATTATTAGATATTAAAAATATATATCTTTTCTAAATAATTCTTTATAGAATTTATAACTTCTTATTTGCTTCTATTTCTAGTACTAAATAATTTATCTCTTTATTCTTCTCTAATATTTCTGCTTTCTTTTTATAAAAAGCTACTAGCTCTTTATAAAGCTTAGTAAAATAGTATATTTTTTGAGAAAAAGTAAATAGGTAATAGTAATAGATAATAATAAGGTAGCAGGCTATTTATATATTAGTTATAGTTTATAATAATCCGTAATAAGTATATATATATAAAAATAAGTTACTGGAAGTAATCTAGTTAATTATATAATTACTAGTAGTAATTCGGGGAAGTGAGAGAGAATTAGTAGGAGCGGGGATAAAGGTAATAAGAGCTAGAGCAGGAGTAGGAGAAAGAGAAGTACCTATAGTAGCGCTTATAAGTATCTATTAGGTTAGTTATAATCTATAAAAGATTAGTAAATAGATATAAAAAGTACTTATAAAGAGAATAACGGATACTCTTATTACTATAATAGTAGTTAATATAGCTTTTACTAAAGAAACTAGTTCTAACTATATATACTATTTATATACCCGACCCGCTAGTATAATATATATATCCGGTAATATAAACTTAACTAATGAATTAGCCAATTTCAGCCTCTAGGTTAGCAGGCCGGGCGGGGTTAGTGATACGGCCGGGCCGCAAAACAGGCATACGGCGGGCGGCGAGGAGGGAGAGGGCCACCATGGTGCGGGTAGGGCGGGCGGCGGGCAGGGCAGGCAGGGCAGGCGCTAGTGCTGCTGCTGGTGCTGCTACTGCTAGTGCTGCTGCTACTGGTGCTGCTGCTGCTACTGTTACTGCTGCTGCTGCTGCTGTAGCAGGAGCAGATGGGAGAGAAGACATTCTACGGACCGTAAGGAGCGTTACAGGCCAGGGGCAGGCCCGTAGCGGGTATAGGGGTTGACTTACGTGTGCGTGTGTGTGTGTGTGTTTATTGAAGGAAAGAAGCTTTGGAATTCGAAATTAAAACCTACCTTATTTAGCTTACCTGGAAAATTTTTAGCCTTCAAAAAGTGAATTTTCAAAGTGAATTTAAAGTCAGTAAAGCTGATATCCCTTAAATAAGTGCCTGGGGCATCCAATTAATCTCGTATTGAATATCACCCAAATTCCAACACGCGTCACACATTTACCCCTATCCCAAACATGGGATCACCGGTCAATATCGAATCGCGGCGACATGCCGCCGGCTCGGCAGTCGCATGGTTATTGGAGGCCAGGGACTTCGGCCCCTTATCCAATTCTATAGAATGGATCAAGCCCTGTCTCGTTCCTCTTCAAACCACCCATTATATCTTTCCCTGAACTTCTCGGGTCTTGTTCAACTTCTTTAGCCTACTCTCTCTCAATCGTCATTCAGTACTCATTATAATCTTGATATACAATTGAATAACTGAAATGTTTCAGCCATGAATTGGGAATGGATGAGTGATTATATATATACATCTAGTAGCGTATTTCGTCTGAGACGGCTATTATGTAAATTTTTGGAAGACAATCGAGCAGATATGATTGGGGATGTGGCCTAGTCGGCAATATTCAGGATACCTTGTCTATTAATACACCTGGTCTTTCTGGAGACAGCCCCCTAAGATTGTCACAACCGATTCTCTTCTACGACGGTACATTGTAGTTGCCCATGCCCTCAACGCTAAGCTCAACGTACATCGTAAATGGCTCCCTTGCGATAGCAGTTCTAACTGGGAGCTGAAGATGTCCTTCACTTCCGCTGCCGCTTTGAAAAGCATTTCTCGTTTCAACAGAGACCTTTTGAGCATCTTTGATATTTCTAGTCATAAATATATGAGCTGGCATTATTAGTTGACTGAGTCCTAGATTTAATTTTCATTATTTATTTTTCATTTGTGGCTTACGTCGCCAAAACGTCCCAAGCATCTAGCCGTGTCCTATCTTTATTCGCATTATAGATCTCAGGAGTATACCGCCGGCCTGCTTGCTCCATATTCTCGAGTGCTTCCAGAATATAGAATGTTCCCATAAGGGCAGAAGACTATAGCCAAGATTCTCTAGGAGGTATCGTTATATAAAGTTTATTTAATCGCAGGTCCATAATCCTTCGCCCCATTCCTCAGCATACTCTTTCGTAGTCTGCCGTGCATCATCTAAGAATTTGGCTGCCAAGATTAACGCCGGGAGAAGAATGAGTTCCGCGTGTATATAATCGATATGCTGCGTCTTTACTACCCTCTTGCCAATGTTCCCAAATGAGCAGGGCATATGTTGCTTAATAAGTGGACAGCCCTTGCGCTATTATAGCGCGAAGCGAGAGTTTAGCGAATCGAGGATACAGATGGCGAGAGCAATGGTCTCCGGGGGCAGATTGCTCGCGTGACGACTATATAAACGAGCGGAATAGATGCAATTATTAAGAAGGTAGGCGGCGGTATCAAGTTTGTTAGGTGGATTGCCGCCCTTAGAACGCAATGTATGTGATTAGCTTGGATTTAAATGCAGGTGACAAACCTGAGGGATATTATTGCTAAGCGAAAACCCAAACACAACAATCTTTATAACGAGCCACATATACTTTTAAACTGTATAAAAAACACGTATAAATATTTCTTTTGTTTTCTTTATAGATTTATTAGGGGAAGGGAGTTAGGGCGGAGGGTGGTGTTATTGTGCTTAGTTATATAACGAGCAATGGCGCGTGCTCTTACTAAGAAGCTTAGTGTCCCGAATTCCTCCTGGAGATAAGAGAGCTTTGGGAGACTGCTGATATATGCTGGCATTGGAGTACAATAAGAGTGGTAGTGGGGGCAAGTTCGAGATGGAGACGTAGATTTTTGGGAAGGACTCGTCGATGAGGGAGGATGCCGGTAATGTTCGAGATCGAGAGGCTATTTGTGGTGCAATCGTGTCATTTATGGCTTTCGTAGTTCTTTGAGAGTTTGTGCACTTTTCTATTCATAAATACGTTAATATGGGATTAAGAGTTCGTCTTGGCACATTAATGAGGCTTCTCGAGGTCTGTATCAATTATTCCCTGGGTATGCCATGAAGCCCCAGACTTTCTTCACTAGTAAGCACAATGGCCGACACTAAAAGATATTTCACAAGAGATAGACCCTGAGGTGCAAAACAAAGACCCAGTGAGAGATGCACCGGGTCTTTGTGAGACTACGGGGGGCTGTTTTGAGAGCCTAGGGGATGATTACAGATGAGGAAATTAGAGCGATGATAAGGACGATGCACCACCGTTGTTTGGACGACACGTAATTGCAGCTCATGGAATGGAGGCAAAGTGGTAAAAATAGTCTGAATAGCTTCAATTTAAGTGATTTGCCATAGTGGGACGATTTAAAAGCCGCGTGGTGGCAATAAAATTACATTTACTGCCCCTGCATATAGATAACCTGGCCGTAAACCCTTCTCATCGCAGTTTGGATCGCAGTCAGGAGGAAAGCAGAGAGAACCTCACTCTTTTTGTTGTGCAGTCATATGCCTTTCCCATCCTTCCGTTAACTTTACACAAGTATGCCGGCCTCAAGCCCCTCTGCCCAGCCTGAATTTTAGTACTACCCCCCCCCCTCCTCTTGAACCTTCTTTAGCCGAGACACTCATGAGCTCTCCTTGGAATGTGAGATGGACCGATCTTTGGAATGTGAGATGAGCCCATCTTTGGAATGTGAGATGTATAAATCTTGGAATGCGGTTATGCAAAGTTTCTGATCACTTGGTACGATATGAAGGTTGGGGCGTTTGGAAAGGATCGCGGGTGGCAAAGTTGGTGATGTATGTAAAACTTATCAAAACTAAGAAATGTAGAGGCTGTGGGCAAGTCTTTCACATGGAAGAAGATTGCGCGGGATATCGGCACAGGTGAGTCTCCGAAAGGGTCGTTATGTGCCCATAGCCATCAGAAAACGTCGTGTACTTTGACATCTGCAAGGTCCCGCCCAATCAAATATATCGAGGCTGGGCTAGGCTGGCGTTTCTCCCTGTTGTTACGTGATACGATAAGACAGAGCTGGTCTAGAAGTATGCATGTCTTGCTTTTAATATCTGTTATCGGGACATGTTACATTCAGCATGTAATGTAAAGCTAAAAGAGTTGGATCTTAGCTATTACATTTTTTAAAAGCAAGCACGGTTATTAGAATCCTTCTGGCCTCTTAGGCTTTGCAAGAATTAGTAATTTTCATACTCTATCTACTGTTCTGCTTTGATTTCAAGTAACATAAGTCCCTACAATGGCCCTTCAGGGTAGCCGAACTCTGATGCCTATCCCTCGCGAATTGATATTAGCACCGAGCCATCACAAGAGAAGATCATGTCCTTCTATATTAGAAGAATCTTTCGATTTACCAGACCTTGTCGCTGAAGGTATTAGACAGGGCTATGAGATAAATATTTCTCTTGCAGGACTTCAAAGAGCAAAGGATGTCTCGGATACCGGAAGAAATGCGACAGGGCAGCACGCCAGAGGCAGAAATTTTTCCTTTGATGCAAGTCTGGCTACAGAAAGTCTTAAAGCAAAATTTGGCAGCAATCACCAAACCTTGAATCGTCTACGGCAGCATAGTACACAGACTCAAACAATCTTACCTCAACCGACTGGGGTGACTCTTCAAATACCAGAACATGCAATTTTTCAGTCCCTTAGGCAATATCGCTTCCCGACCAAAGACATTCTTGCCAATTCCAACTGTGATTCGGCCCCTCTCGGGACAGAATTTGAAATGGACCCCCTTGAAGTTCATCCTCACATTCAAATCCCTCCTCACTCAACCAACATTCAACGGCCACGAAATTCAGTTCTATCTCTACTCCGCCGAGTATCGGTATTTTCTCATATATCCACTCTGCACCGACCACGGCACCCTACTTTGGACAAACTGTTCGACGATGCAAAGAAGCTGGAAGCTAGAATATACAGAAGTGTTCTTTATCAAAAGTTGTTCCAACACGCTACATATGCTCTATTGCTAGCAGCATTATACTTCATTCTTGTTGGGTTGCCCCTATGGAAAGGATTAGTTTGGTGGATGTATAATTTCTTAGCGACGAAGTTTATATTGACTGGGGGCTGTGTTGTATTCAGTGGAACTGCATTCCTGTAAGTTTGTTTCTCAATAGTGACCCGGGTTTAATGAGCTAGACTAAGTCAATACAGTTATGCTTTTGCGCCTCTCCTTATCGTTTTTGAAAAAGATCCGATGAAACAAGACGCTGAAGCCGTAAAGAGCGAACCAAATTCCATTCAATCTTGCGCTCTGCTGATTCCGTGCTACAAGTCGGAATCCCTAATTGGCTCGACCCTCGAAGCTGCACTCAAAGTCTTTCCAGCCAAAAACATATTTGTTATAGCTAATGGAAACTCTCCGGAGCCTCTTGATAATACTGCCGACGTCTGTCATAAATATCACGTCAATCACATATGGTGCCCAATAGGCTCCAAGATTATCGCACAATTTCTTGGATGCTACGCTGCGGAAAACTACCCATTTACACTACTTATAGACGATGATTGTATCTTGCCCCCGGAATTTCCCATCGTTACAGATAGGATGAAGGGGAATATCAAATGTCTCGGGTACACAATCAAGAGCGTTGGGCAGGGAAGGCAGCCAGGTACCTTGTGCCAACAAGCACAAGATATCGAGTACAAACTAAGTGGGCTTCAGCGAGCCTTTGCTGGAAAGGTCGGGAGCGCCACATTCCCACATGGAGCTATAGCCCTCTGGGATCGAGAACTTTTGATGAAAACGTTTCACTGTCATCCTGGCTTTAGTATCAGCGAGGATTGGTTCTTTGGCCACGTTGCACGAGAGCTTGGCAGCAGAATCTTGATGTGTACCCAAGTCTTTGTCGAGACAGAAACGCCGCCAGCAATTTTTTGGGTGGACAATAATGAGTCTCGAGGAGGCTTTGGCGAGATGACAATCTATAAACAAAGGTTTTATAGATGGAACTTCTTTTTCGTGAATGGCTGTTACTGGAATATGAAGTATATCCTATGGTCATGGAAGCTGGGTTGGTGGGAGATAGGTGCGAAAGTTTTTGTTTGGCAGGAGGTAAGCTAGAGCTATTAACATATACCCAAGTTTTTGTTACTAAATACTAATACTCGCCACAGGTATATGAGACTATAATCTTCCTCCTCACACCATTTGTCCTCCCTATTTCTCTTATTATTCGCCCTGAGTTCTGTGCTATCCTCCTCGCTACGACATTCGGCATGTACTTTATCAATGTTCTAATATTTAACGAGGTGCATCTTCGCAAGAAAAATGAAAGAGTTAGCTGGGTGGCTATATTATATTATATGCCTTACAAGATTACCTTATTTTTAGTCAATGTGGCATCATGGTTAGTTTGGATTTTTTTAATATTTTAATGGGCTGCTTTATATAAATCGACATTACTAATTATAAACATAGCTATTACTCGATTTATAAATACGCGAAGTATTTTGCGAAACGGCATCCAAAAGTAGTTCATGATGCTAAGGTTATTCAAGTAATATTGGACTTTGTCGAGCTATCTGAAAACGAAGCAGGTTCTATACTCAGGCATGGTCGAGATGATGGTGCGAAGGAGCAACATACCTAACCGACTTCCCGATATTTTCTGCTACCCATTGGAGCAGGATCTTGGAGCGGTGCGGTGGCGCGTCGGTTATTAAGACGAAGGAGGGAAAGCTGACGAGTAGTTGGACGTAATCTGGGTATCCGACGTAGAGGCTGCGGATATGTGGGATGGAGGGGCGAGGGTGCGTGGATACAACGTCCGAGGTGTTGAAATCAAACGGTCCTGGCCAGAGGCCAGTCTCGAAGAATGAGTGCACTTCTGCTCGCTTGTAGTCTGAGCTTTGTTGTGGAGTCGATTGAGTTGATGTGGTGTTGAAGCTGGCTGGGACGGAAAAATAGTCCGCGGAGAAGGGGGATTAATAGTTATTGACTCGACTAGAAAGTATTCGAGGATGCCTGCAGTGTTGTAACGGGTTTGGAATCGGTGTGGGAGCAAGAGTTTAAAGGCCTCGTCTGCTTCAACCTTCGTGTAGTTGATCAGGATGAGATCATTGGTGGAATTTCCGAAAATTGCGTGGTCTTCGTATGTGCGAATTATGTACGTGAGGTAATCAGTCGCGTTGGGAAGAATGATAATTTGAAACGCGGAGTTGTATCGCTGGAAATGTTATATTACTAGTGGGATCGTTGATCGATAAAACGCTCAAGCTGGGAATTGCGAATTTTTGAGCGGTGTTGATCAAGTAGTCCTTTAGAAATGGATCGGCATAGCCCAATGCCTGAGAAGGATCTCTCGAGAAGACATTGTTTTGACCCTTAACCAAGCAGGCCCAACTGTCCGGCCCATCTTGCAACACCATTTCATAGTCGTTAGGTGGCTCGAGGTTTGGAAATGCCCAGATCCAGTAGTCAGCATAGTGATAGAATCTGTCAATTCGTTACTGGATATGACCATTGGCAAAGTTGAAAGACATTTTCTGCGATCCGCTGGAGGCAACTGATTGGTCTGAACTCGAGGTTGTAGTTCTGTGTTAGGGTCTGGCTACGGGAAATGCTGTTTAGGCATTAGCCCTGTTCTATTCCGGTGAAGTGGTGTTTCTAACTTTGGCGCTTCAAAAGTAATGCCTTTGATACGATTCATGGTATCCAATCCTCCAATTGCAATGATTGCCTTGTTCAGCAAATCCAATGCTTCAAAGATGCCATTCTTGATACTATTTGAAGTGCACTGCGCCTTTGCATGTTGTAGGTATAAATAACCACGGACTAGGGAAATGGAAAGAGAAGAAAATAAGATCATGGCTAGTGAAGTTGATTGAGTTGAGATGGTGATTGATACCTATCAAAACGGAGAGAAAAGTAGAGCTTATATACATATTGATGCCGGCTCCGAATCTCAAGCAGAGTACCACGACCTGTTGTCGTCCTGAGCAATTCCAAGCCACAGCGTGAGGAAGCTATAATCCAAAAAGCGACGCGGCAGCTGAGCAATGACGTTAAGTCAATGTCATGAAGTCAAAGCCATACACACCGTCGGCCGCTGCAAACTCAGCAGGCGTGATGCGACTGCGAGGGAAGTATCCAACCTTTTGATAGCTCCGTACCTTCCCCCTAATAAAGGGGAGTTTGAAATTCTCAAGCCGATCCAAGACCTCGGACATCGGAGCCTCGGGGGAGGGCGAAGCTGCGATTTCCCCGAGTCAGCACTAGAGCGAAGCGAGCCGCGTGTTAAAAGGCAGCGAGCCTCAGCTCGCTTACATAACAAAAGGGGGGATACAAACCAAGTTTACAGAAAAGAGATCGACAGATCCACCAAATGCTCTCCTCAGCAACCTCGGCCACTGCTTCGTCCTACGGTATTCTTAATTCCTTCCCCGGGCGTTGCTTGAGCAGTAGGGACCTTGCCCCAGCCAGGGAAGACGCAATGAAAGCAGCCTACACTAATACCCTTCCCAGAGTCTGAATATTGCAAGACATCCAGATACCAATATACTTCGGTTTATGTGAACAATCGAACCTTAGGTAAAGCCATTTACCTGGAAAGGAAAAATAATGGAAGTATCTCAATTCTCAAAGTCCCTCACAGAACTTGATTAATTGAAACTTCCAATTCCTAATATACCATGCTCCACAGGAACAATCAACTCTCAGATGAACGAACCCCTTGGCCTATGAGGTGCTGATACAATGAAAGGCGCGCAATTTCCAATATACTTCACTCAACGGGGGCAATTCGGAACTTCCCAAAATGATTATTCCAGCCATTCCAGATGTCTTTGGCGCCCGTATTGCTCCATTGTTTTAGAAAAGGCTCCCACATAGTAGCAAAACTGATTACTGATCTATTTTACTTAATAGAGTCAATCCAGAACTTCCTAAGTAGCTTGTTCCAGCCATCGATAATAAATTGAGCCTTGTGGATTACTCCGATGTTCTAGAAACTCTCACACATTGACAGCAGACTTATAGGCAATGTCCCTCACGCGATTCACACATTTTATATCCCCAGATAGCTTGTCCTAACTATTTCTAATACATTGAGTTCGTTGATTGAGTCTGATATCCCTATTGTCTATGAAGGAGTCTAATGACTGACTGTAAGGGCGAAGATAGTCGAGTTACGGACGGCGAATAGCAGAGAAGAGAGCCCGGAACTCCATTTTGTCTAGTGCCAAGCGAGTGAAGAGGAGTCAAGCAGACGAGAATCGAGTGATTGTGAGCATACTATTCATACTTCACATAATCCGTTGATGGCTTACCCGCAGGGTTTACCCAAGGGACCTCCATTGAACTGGAATGCAGTTGTGAATAAAGAATCTCTGGCAGCTTACTTCCGACAACAAACCTGGAGACCAGCCACAGTTGATGGCTATATTACCAATCTTGATATATGCGGATCAGCAGTGGTTAACATGATCTTTAAAGAATTTTGTTTTAATCCATTGCTCGTGAAAGCGCTCGCACAATAAAGACAACCCTATTCCCAATACCCTTGACCAAGCCAGAACAATTAAACTGGAGCTATAGCTGTGAATTGCTTCCTGTCTCTAATAAGGCATCTTGAATTGTTCCTGACACTCCTAATATAATCAAATCCTGTACTAATCTATCATATCTCAATAAATCTGGGGGAAAATGAGACATCCCAATTACCAATGTCCTATGTCGAATTGAAAGAATCAAAACTGTGAGTGGCCTCATTGTCCTGCAAAGAGTCGTGCTTTCTCGACTTTCAGAATCTGGATTGTTCCAATATTTCTGGCACAATTGAGCATTTGCTTAACTAATTATATCGCAACTATCTTAGATAATTAGGGCTTATCCAAGTAAGAAGATATCGTGTTAAAGCAGAACCACTTCACTTGTAGATAGCTTCATTGTCTTGCCCTTAGCGCCGGACATTTCATCCTCCGAATTCAGTAACACAAGTAATAACCTTAAACCTTAGATTAGCGATTTATGTTTCACAATTGAACTCGATGGCGTTACATACGCTTCTCGCCAAGCAGCGAATTGTTCTCAAAAGTTTGAGTTCGAGTAGTTACGAGCTGTTTCTCACTCAAAAATTTGCAAGAAAAAGGGGGTACGTGAAAGTCATTGCTTCATTGTTCTATTGCTTTAAGTAACATTGATGCGCCTTGCATCCCATAGTAAACGCCCCTCCATCCGATTTATGAAATGAAAAGAAGAAAAAGCTTTACTTGAGTAAAGCGTTTATTTTCTTGAGCTGAAGCAATTCCTGGGAAGTAGGTCGTGCCTCAGCGCCTTGATAGCGAATAAGGTCTTGGCCGGCTTCTCTATGCAGCTCGAAACGATACATTGCAGTGTCCTCATCAAGTATCTCCTTGCTAACAATCTTGTAGATGCCATCGAACCTAATTCCTTCCTTTGGGGCGAATTGAGACTTGGACTTGCTACGCAAGACACGGATCGGGTTATTAACTTTCAGTGAATCGAGAAGGAGCTGGGTACGGTAGGTAGGGGTAGGTGTCTTTGACTGCGTGCCACAATAGTGAATGGTCTGTTTCTCTGGTTAGATAAGTGCAACGAATATGAGATAGAAAACTCACATCGCCCTTGTCCTCGTCAGCATATCCGCCGTTAGCTAAAACAATGGAAAATGCGCCTTTGCCCTTCTGACCGCAAATGCCAGGCTCCAACTCAGCATGGGCACCGTCACGCATAGCGCAAAGCCGATTAGCAAACCACTGTCCGTTGCGTAGACCGTTATCACCAAAGACCTTGGCCGATTTCTGAAAGCTATACTCCTCAATTACACCAGAATTATAATTACGGGTCTTACCGCCCTCCTTAGTAGATTTAAGAGTAACGAGGCCGCGGAGGAGAGACGGCTCGAGGTCGCCCATAAACCATCTCGAGTAAAGGACTTCGGCATCGGCGCGAAGGTAACACGGGAAAACGCGTTGATGGCCAGGCTCTGCACCAAAGATAAGGTACAAACCTCCAGAACCAAGCACGTTGGACTTCTTTACCTCGACCATGCTAAGGAACGGGTAGAATTCGATTTCGTGCAATTGCTCGGTAAGCTCAACAATTGCCTTGTCCAAAGCCTGCTGATCTCCACGGTTGTGGGCCTCAATGCAGTGTTGGATGAGGGTGCGAGTATGTGCAAGCTTCTGGACGTCACCTCGAGAGAATGAGGCCTTCGGACTGACCTTCTCGTACCAATCCGGGTGCGACGATGTGTTCACCAGAGCCTCCGTGCGGGTAGAAGCCGACTTGGCCTTAGAACGCTTGGCCTTTCGTGCTGGAGCGTATTGTGTCTTTGTATCCTGCTCGGGGAGTTCCTCTTGGGCATGCGCATCGGAAACAGGGGTGAGCTTAGCCTTCTTCAAGGGAGCCACAACTTGATCGACCAGGACATCGGCATCGGCAGTCTCGTCGCGCTCTAGAAAGCAGTCAGAAAGTGGCCCGTCAATTGTATCAACTGAGCAACATACCCTTGGTCTTGCGTTTGCTTGCGCGGAGACGACCGAAATCAATAGGAAGCGGCTTCTGGATGGCGACAAGTTGGGAGAGGATTAGCTCATCTTGTTCGGGTGTACCGAGGACGGGCTGGCGCGGAGAGATAGAATTCATTGCGACTGCAGCTCCTTCTTCTTGCTTCATGGTAACGTGAGCGGCGTTGGTAGCCATTGCGACTGCAGCTGCTTCTTCTTGCTTCACGGTAACTTGAGCAGCATTGGTAGCCATTGCGACTGCTGAATGGTCTTGTGCCTGCAATCGTCGTCTCTTAGCTCTTTCGGCTTCCACACTCTCTTCAATCAATCGCTTGAAGTCCATTGTGATGTATGATAGCACATGAGAGTGCGACAGCAAGGGAATCGTGCCGGCACCGGTCGGTGCCAGCGAATGTGAGGGGGGGGGGGGGGTGTGTTGGGAAGAAGCAGAGGAGGTCAGTACTTACAATGGTGGGGGCGTCGTCTGGGGAGACGCGCTCTACGGTGGCCGGATGTGTACGAGGGATGTTCGTGAGCAAGGTTGTTGTTGTTCGCAAGAGATCGTGTCGAGGTTGAAGGAGAGAAAGTCTGAAGACATCGCGAAAAGTTCTCTTATGGACGTCTCTGAGTGAATCCTGTGTTGTGTTCGTCTCCAACGGCGGTCACTTTTCAAGATGAAAGTCGTTGACCTTTCGCTTTCGAAAAGGGAGATGCGAATCGACCCTCCAATGGCCTCACAACCAGCGAAACCTGGCCATTGGCTATTGAGGATCAGGGGTGAAGGGAGAAGTCAACGGGGCGTTTGTTTTCTCTAGTTTTTGGAGTACAGGAGTTGAAGCATGCTAGGGAGGATTTATGAGTGATACGTTTCCTTGTTCATGGCACCTTCCAACTCGGAGACTCGGCCAGAGGCAAACCATCAAGCTATACGTTTATCGAAGTTGCTTGACAGCTCGTGTCAAATAGCAATTGAAATCACAAGAGAATCAGGTCACAAAGCCTCATGGACAATTCTTCCTTTATGCATTTGCCATTTGTTATCCGGCTCAATGAGCAAAGGCTAGAAAACACCTGTATGCAGTGCAACACCTATCATCCCTACCCATTCCCAGAATCTATCCCCCAGTTGTTCAGTAGAAGGTTGATGGTCGCTTGCCAACGAAGAGCTTCGTGCCAGCTGCCTTGGAGACGCGGTGAGGAAGAGGGAATTTGAGGTCCTTGGTGAGGAGTTGCTTGATGTAGGGGCGCTTGACGTCGTCGGTCTTCTCGAGTTCAACAACCTTGAGGATCTGTTTGCAGTTTGATCAGTATGAAGCCAATGCGTCCAGAATCTGCAGAACGTACGTGGATCGACCGGAAACGGGATCGATGTCTGGCGGCCATATCTTGGTACATAGCCTCAACAGCATCGGTTCTTGACATCTCACGGTACTCCTTGTACATGTTGTGGGTTCCGGAGCGGGAATCGTATCGGATCCAGATGCCAAAGTTCTTGACCTTCAATGGGCGCTTCTCGTGGATCTAACAATTGATCAGTTCCATCTTGTCCCAAGTTACCCAAATAACATACCATGTTCAAGCTAACGATCTCGCCGTTCGCCTTCTTGACCTTTCGGAGCTTCATCAAGAAGTACCAGAAACGAGACTTTGCAACCACGGTGTTTGGTGCAAAGATTCTCATTCGGTACAGCTTGGGCGCTGGGTTTGCCTCGGTGGGCAGATGGCGGCCAATGACCTGGTATTCTGTGAGACGACCTGTAGAATCGAGTCAGCATTTTGATTCCAATTTGCAGCCCAAGATGTGTCTGCTGATTGTGTTGTGAGAGAGGTGACGGGTCCATGATGTAAATAGAGGGGATTCGAGCATCGAGGGTATGCTTCCTGAGCACCAAAGCTGGCAATCGTTCGGTGCGAGTATCCCAGCTTCTCGGAGGCTGGCAAGGAGTGTTTCCGACATGACCAAGATGTGGTCCTAAGAATACCACGACTGAAATGATACTTTTCAATTTCATCCATTGATATCACAAATGCCATACCCAATCCTCTCCGGAAGTGCTAGTAGCGCTTGTTGCCCATATCGACAGAATTACCTTATCCCCCCTCGCACTCCAATGTGTTCCTCGGTCGAACTAGGCCATGTCGTCGTCGTGAAATAATTTTGATCGTCCTCGACAAGTCGTGATTCCTTTCGTGCACCGTCCTGGGAGGAGAAAAGGAATCTAAAGCTTACCCATCTTCTCGATATTAGCAAACGATCAGTTCTGCTTGAATCCCAGAGGATACTCACTGTGATTGCTGGCCGTGGTCGATGTCGATGTTGTCGCAAGTCGAATTTCCTGCGAGTTCTCCCGCAACAAAATCTCGCGTGTTAGCGTAGGGCTTCATATTTTCACTGCCCTAGCGAGCCGCCTTTCCAGATTCGGCTAGCGCATCATTTGAGCCTCAGAACGGTCCTGCCTCAAGGTAAACAAACATGAAGAACGAGACCGACCGTTGAGGACTAGAGTGTCTTGAATTTTTCTGTCGGATTGATTCATTCACTCATGCTCTATCTCCCTTGATCAACGCGACACTCCAGCTACGATAAGGGAGACCTCATGCTCACAATGCGACACGACGCTCTCTGAACCTCAATCCCAAACCTCAGGTTTTCACAACCAGGCTCAACGGAATCACGAGAAATCTTCATGCAATTCACGATTTTCAACGATTTATGACCTTACGGTCAGTTACGAGACGAACGAGATGGATCCTATCTTTGAAGGCTTCAAGAAAGCCTACGAGGAAGGCAATGGCTATGATCTTTCGATGACCCTTTCTCCCGTGGACCCTGATGATGCGCCTGATAGACTTTACAAATTCTTCCGAAGCACGAATTTTGCACAAGCCAAGAAGGACTTTCAGTACCGGATTCTGTACGATAGCGCTACGCCTTTCAAACTCCCGGCCGAGGAGGGCAATGGATGGGTTGAGGTTTACTTGGCTTATTGGAAGGCTGTTGGAGAGATCTTGAATGCCAAGAATGCACCGAAGTCGAATGCAAAGGTAAGTAAGCATACTCTGGGATGTTAACTTACTTTCCTCTTTGTTGAGCCTCTCAAAGTTGAGATAGACAGCTACGCTGTCCACTCCTCCATGTAAATCACGTGATACCCAGCTTCCAACGTCATTCGAAGAATTAATTGCATTACGTTAACAAATTGCGGCAAATCATACTGACATCTTCAAAGGGATCATGGACGAAGGTTTACGACTCGTGGAAGGAGATGACGAATGCTCTCATCCGAGGTTACACTAATTGCGGATTTGAAGCCTGGACGGTGCCTTGTCTTTACGTGGCCGGTAAATATATGAGAATATTCGCAATCAAGGCGGATGAGGCGACAGGTGCTAGCACAGGCTCAGTCAACAATTTCCAAGATGATTTCAACCCTGAGGCAGAGAAGAATGAGAAACTCGAAGATGCGGCGAGACAGCTCAATCGAATCTTCACGATTTGTCTCAGTGATAGGTCAGTATACGACCGATGAAAACTTTCGGTTTGCTAACCCCGCGATAGAGCACCGCTCGACGAATCAAGAAAATGGGGTCTCTATAACATCATCAACTTGTTGTTCAAGACATACTTCAGATTGAACTCGATCAGCTTGTCGAAAAATATTCTGAAAGCAATTCAGGCATATCGAGGCGACATGCCAACGCTTGATGTCTTTCCCAAGGCACATCAAGTGACGTTTAAATACTACGTTGGAGTCATCTACTTCCTGGAAGAGAATTACGAAGAGGTTCGTCAGCGGAACACGTCCAATCAATGCCAGGATGCTGATCCCCCCTTCAGTCCGAGAAACATCTCACCGAAGCCTGGCAATTATGCCACAAAGACGCCATCCGCAACAAAGAGTGTGTGAACGCCATCAAGCCCCGATTGCACTCTCACCGAGTCACATCCACTAACATCCCACAGACTCATCCTGACCTACCTCATCCCATGCCACCTCCTCACCACACACACCCTCCCCACCCTCGCCCTCCTATCGCCGTACCCGCATCTGCAAGAGCTCTTCCTTCCTCTCTCCCGCTGCATCAAGAAGGGCGACCTAGCAGGCTTCGACGCCGCCCTCGTCGCCGGTGAAGACGAATTCGTAAAACGCCGCATCTACCTAACCCTCGAGCGCGGCCGCGACATCGCCCTCCGAAACCTGCTGCGCAAAGTCTTCATTGCAGGTGGCTTCGAGGAAGCGAAGGACGCCAACACACCACCTGTGCGACGGACCCGCATCCCCGTCGCTGAGTTCGGCGCTGCGATAAGTCTAGGGAGCAAAGAGACGATGGACAGTGACGAAGTCGAATGCTTATTAGCGAATATGATTTACAGGGTATGGTTGAAATCCCCCTTTCATTCAAAACCTATTCTTTTTGCGACGAGGTGCGCGGTAGATGCCTCAAGGCAGCCCCCCTTATCCGCCCCGCCGAGGAACGAGAACCTCGATTGCCGACCGTGAGTCAAAACCAAGCTGACGATCGCAGAACTTAATGAAAGGCTACATCGCGCGCGAGCGCGGGATCGTGGTGCTGAGTAAAGGCGGAGCGTTCCCCGGGACGGGCGTTTGAGCCCCTATCTTGCGTTCGTTTTCATGCGACGGCGTTGGTGGGTGAACGGTAGTGCTTTGCCACCCCTTACTTGAACGGCGATCAACATGTGCAACAGCGCAAAACGAAAGAAGCAATCAAACCGCTCGAATTTGGCCGAGCAATGGAAAGGGGCTCGGTGAGCGGATGCGGATGGGCTCACCGTCGTGCACTCACCCCAAACAACCTATACCTACTGCACCGAAACACCAAATCAAATATCAAATCACGGATTTTCACACCATTTCCTCTTCCCGCTCGCTCCACATCCTGCAATGACACCTTCAGCATCCCTCGTTCCACCAAACCCTGCACACCAAAATCACCCCCGCTCCACAAACCTCGCCCCCATCACCGAAACAGAGTAGCGGTGACTCACCACCCCCCTAACTCCACCCTTGCCTTGGAAAGGAAGCTCTCGAATTGGCGAATCGCTTCCCTTGAATTGTGTGGAAAGCTCGAGAAGCTTTCCTTTTTTTTTTCTCGCAGGGGGGGCTAAGTTTTGGTTTGCATGAGCATGGCATGGCATGGGGGGAGGGAAGCTAATGCATGCACTTTAGCTGATAAGAGGAGTGATATAAATTTCACGGCCTGAGATGGGATTTAAGGCTTGCGTGCATTCTGGTGAGGGTTTGTGAAAGTTCCGTGATGGTTCGTGATTTTTGGTGATCTCTGAAGTTTCACGAGGCACGAATGAAAATGGGATTCAAGTGAGTGTAGAATGGATAGATATTTCTACTGATGCTGCATTCCTGCTGCTGATTTGTTGCTTTCCTCTCTCTCCTTCTCTGCTGCAATCTGTCATGTCATAGTCTTGCAATTTTCGCTCCCCTTCCCTTTGCATCTCTCATCGAATTAGCCACCTCCATATGACGAAAATAAATAGTACAAGCAGATTTTTTTCCACTTCTTCTTTTTCTCTCGTTTCTCAACTGTTCTGTGCAGGAGATAGAAAGACAACAATAATCAGAAAGGAGACATGATGATCGCTGGAGAAGACGGGAGCTGGCAAAGTCTAAATAGCCAGCCAACCAAAGCAGATAGTAGACACCAATAGATAGGCAAGAAGAGTAGTGATACAGATAAATATATGAGAAAAAATCCGAGTCCTCCCCAGGACGCCGACGCCGTGGTATCAAAGCAGATTAAAGTCCCATTTCCCCTAGTTTATGTCATTTGTTTTGGCGCTTTGTTGTTTTGTTGTGGCTGAGGAAGGGCGTGAAGCGAAGTGTTGATGGAGCACGAGACGCAGTCATGTGCTGTATGAGTAAAAAGGAGAGGAGTCATCAATGATGTGTCCTGACGCTTCGTGGGGAGCCTCTGTATTTGCCTCGTCAGCCTCACTCTCATCGGAAGAAACACACATTTTCGGGAGAAGTAGGAAGCGGAAAGGGGAGAGGCAACTAGACTTACGCAATACTAGCCACATCATCAACATGATTGCACAGCGCGACGAAGAGGTCAAAGAACAGCTGCGAGCCTCCGGCCATCATCTCCATCTGCATGGTGCCGCTGCGCTTGAAGGTGCCGCGGCTGCGGATGATGAGCGCGAGGTAGTGGGCTCGGAGCTTCGAGTCGGTGTCTGGTGTGTTGGCGTAGGCGTAGCGAGCGGAGGTGAGGATTGTACTGCATTGGATGCCGGATTCTATTACATGTTAGCATCATTTCATGATTCGGATTGAAGTTGATTTAGGGTTGTGGGAGCTTACGCAAACCCTGCTTCCGCAACGCAACACGCTTCAGCTCATCCAACCCGTATTTCTCCGCCGTGCAATAGATAACTGTATCCTTCAACAGCTCGCCATCAACGCCGTGATGATACACTGTGCTCTCCACGCTTCCTGCGCCTCCTTCGCCCGTCTCCAACTCCCATGTGTTTCTTCGCTTGTTGTGTACGAGTCGTGGATAATAGTCGCCTTTGTAGAGGTATTCGAGGACCGAGGAGAAGATCTCGGGCTCTTCATCCGGAAGGGTGATTCGCTTGGCTGCCGCTTCCATGAATTGTCCGCGGCATGCGGCTTGGAAGAAGGGCGATATGCAGAGGACGTCTTCGTGTGCGGCGAAAAGTCGTTGCTCCTGACCCACAACGAGTGTGACTATCGATGAAGTTAAGGTACTATTGAAATAAAATGTCAGCGACCGTACAACATTCCGTGATTTGAAGAAGTGAGACTCACCTGCCCATGGGAGGAGCTTCCTCGGCCGGAGCTTTGCGGGACCGCTCGTGGCGGTTCTTCGACACGGCATGCTCTCGAAACGACGACTTTGACGGCTTGGTCCCTCGCCGGCTTCGCGAAAAGCTCTCGGTCTGTGATTTATTGACGTTTCGGCTGAACATCTTCGGTCGCTATCGTTATCGTACGGGTCGTGATTATCGTCGATGTCCGTATTTCGCACGTTCTCGCGATGTCTCATCCGATGTGGTCGTGAAGTGTTGCTGTCGAAATCGATGGATTGTCGACGCCTGCTGCCTGGAATTGATTCAGGAGAGAAGGGACGAAGATTTAGAAGGGGGGATGGGCTGTTATATAGCTGCAGCGCGGCCTAGGGGGGCCTGCAACAGGCAAAAACACGGCCTGAGCAGATTTTGAGCCTGGAAGACGCGCCTTGGCCGAGGGGCGCTGCAAGCACTCATCGCGCATTGGACGCGATAAAACGTGACCTCGAAAGTGACTCCGAGGTCCCACATGTGGCTGATTTGCTGCCCCCGGGGAAACTGGTCCCAACCGGCCGGGATTCCGCAGGAAAAAGGCGTGGTGAGACGGCAGGACAGGGCAGGGGGATGTTGCTCGAGGGCAAAGTTCTCGCTGATTGATGGGTGGTTGTTTGAGCAGCATGGTTGCTAGGCTGTCTGCATCTGAAAAAGAAACACAAGGCAAACGAACGATTGCGAGCCTCGGAAGGGGCCACAATTTGAGAGAAACGTCCTCTCATAATAATGCAGCATAATTGTGTTTGCGTCAGTGGTGCCGATCGTGAGTCTCAGCGCGAGTCAAGATCCTTGACGGAGAGAAGAAAGTTCACTGGGGAAGTTGGCCTTCGCCTGGGCGGGACAGGCCACTTTAGCTTCTGGTGTGAACTCGAGGGACGACCCCTGAGGATGTTCTTGCCCCTTTTCATCCCGATTCTCGACGCAATGGCGGATTGAGAGTCACAATCCTTCCAAGAAACCATAAGTGTGGTTGCACCGAGCTTGAAGGCGTTTCTTGTTATCCTTTTGCTCGAGAATTCTGCCTTGGCCAGCGGTGGCGTTCCCGTCACCGTCAGGTGACCTGTGTTCAGCCTCACTCTCCGCACAGCCACCACCAACTGTGGTGGCTACAAAACCACAATGGCCACCCAAGAGGTGGTGCATCCGGAAAAAATACGTTGCCGGGGCAAGTGCACGGCAGAATTTCGCCTAATGAGGCCTAGTTAACACACGTGACTGTGATTCAAGAAGAAATTAGAAATTTTTTCCCATATTTAATCACGTGATAATAGCTAGTGAAGTAGTCACCGTGGTGAACCCGATCTACAAAGAGAGAGCTCGGCGTTCATGTAACGGGGGAATCGACTATTATGCTCTGCAAAACGTAGGTTTGGTGCCTTCATTTGCGCTGCTATTGCGGAGGAGGCAACCGTAAGCGTGGGATGCCTGAGGCCACCAACCGTACATGTTCTCTCCAGGCACAGCTCAGTAATCCGTCATCCTCTTTCTCTCGAACGTTTTATTGCAACGAAAGATCGTCTCGCCAAAGTGCTGGGTATAAATCACGTTAGGGATAGCGCGTGCCCGTTCCAGTCTAGCGCCACTCGCTCGGGCTACTCGAGCTCCCGCTTAAATGCACGCCCCGCTTAAATGCACGCGCCCCCACCAACTTTTTTCCTCACTCTCACCTACTTCTAAATTAAATTATTAATTAACCACAAGACCAATTAGCTTGAAATCAAAAAGAGAGATAGATTAATAGCTAATAAATAATATCCCAAATTAATTAGACCCCTTCTCAAAAATTACCCGTGGTTTTATCGCACGCCCCCGGGAGCTCTGTTTTACCGGTGTTTCTAGGACCCCCCCATTAATATTACCATTAATAAAGGAAACAACCTTCTTTTTGAGAACTGGTACCTTTCTAGGTTTCGCAGGAGTCTTAATTCTCACTGGAAGAGCCTTTGGAACCTTCTTTTGCTTAGCTTCCTTCTCTTTTTGAGCTTGCAATTCAGCCTTCTCCTTAATTCTCACTTTATTAATATTCTCCCCCCTTACTGCTACTTGTAGAGCCTTCTCTGCCTTCTCAGCTTCGTTCTTTTGCTTTTTAAGAGCTTGGGCAGCCTTTTTAGTATTAATTCGTATCCGTTCAGATTTCGCAAATGCCTCCTTTTTAGCAAAAAGCTCCTGTGTACGTCGAATATTATCTGCAGAGAAGAGTATTGGCTTCGTATGCTCCTCCCCCAAGACGTTTAGCCGCTTTCCACGAGCCTTACTCTTTTTTTCGTCCTTTAATACCTCAAGTAACCCTTCCTTTATATGTCTATCGAGTGCGGCTTGTACAGCTAGCTCTTTATTAGCTCTAAAGAGCTTCTCAAGCTTCGCTTGGGACGGATTTTTGCGAAAGTCAGCTTGGAAGTGTCGAATCGATTTCGCAGATCGTAGAGTCTTTAATCGTTAAATTAATGAAGGTACAGGTTGAATGGCCTCTGGGGGAGTAATTGGACGGCAAATAACCTTTAAAACAAGAGCAGGATTATATGGCCAAATGCCAGGCTTTGCGAATGCCTTCTGAATATTCTTTATGGTAAAGGTACTATTCCAGGCTGGACGAAATAGCTTCAGGAATTGTTTCTTCTTTATTAACGAGTAGCCAAGGCTTTGCTCTTGCTGTTTGTTGAGTTCCTTCGAGTATACAAGGGATAAAAGACTAAAAAGTACCATATTCAAAGGTTAAAGTCGATATATCGAGTGAGGAGGTAAAATAAGAAGTATAATGCGAAGGTCCCAATATTTATTAATAAATGTCATATTTATATGGCTTGAATGGCCATCGACGATTAAAAGGCGCTTTGTACGAGGAGAAGAAGGTCGTGTGGCTGGTTCAAAGACCTTGGTAAGCTATTGAAGCCCCTATGCATTACTACTCCATTTATTACTCGATATACCAAAAAAGAAGTCGTCTTGCTCTTGCAAATCTTATACCTAGGTATTCCGTAAATCAAACGATTCGCCAGTATATAATAGGGTCGCAGGAACCCTTTTTCTAATTGCAGAGATATATGCTAAGCAAGTAATAAATTTGCGATTTCCATTGTAGGCAGCTTGCTTGACCCTTCCCGATTTATATGCCTCTTTAGATATAATTCGCTTTATTGCTTGTATAATCCCAATCAAGAAGCCCTTTTCGTTCCAATTATATACGTTATCGGCCGTAATATGGTTGTGTTCGATGACTTGGAGTAATTAGGGTGGGATATACGTTAGTAGGTAATTCTCGTAAAATATAATAAAGTAATACGAAAGGGTACTTAACCAGATCAAAAAATAACTTGTATATAGGGCCATATTCGCCCTTGATACGTTGATTCTCGATATTGCATAAATATAAGCTTTTTAGCTCGCTTTGGTACCGCCGGCAAAATTGAGAAACCCAGTTCTTCCCCATAGCGTGTCCAATCATCTCTTCTGCGAAGTTCTTGACCATTTGACTGGTTGGAGGGATCCCGCGCTCGGTAAGGCGATTAATTTGATTGATTAGAATACGCTCTTGAGCGTTGGTAAGACATTGGTGGATTTGGGACTGGAATTCCGCTCGGGAGGTGGTTTGTCCTCTGGCGCGTCTGGATAGCGTAGATCGCGTTAACCCATACTTTCTGGCTATTGTAGCATAATCAGGAGCTTCAGAGCTTTCGATTTCGGCCAGAGCCTTCTTCATATCGTCTTCGTTGACCATTTTGTGGGTGTTTAAAGAGAGGGGGTGGTTTATTGGTGAAGCGTGCATTTAAGCGGGGCGTGCATTTAAGCGGGAGCTCGAGTAGGCGCCTTGCTTCGAGCGCTACTTTTCGAGGTCATTGATAAGAACTCGTACGCCTGGAGCCTCGAACCTCAACCGCGTTAACTGCAACTTGTCGAAAGAGACTCTCGCAAGATGACGGGGTCTCCAGAGCCAACTGAGATTTTTGAGTCGGATGGATCTGAGCATCCTGAATTGTTTGCAGATCTTGCAGATGATGAAGTGGTTGAAGAGCTTTTCCGACTCGGACGAGAGAGAGATGGCTTGACCAGAGAGGGCCACAGAAAGCGAGAATTACGTTCGAACAAGCTCGAGATCAGACTGGGCAACAACAGCCCTGAACTGGGAGCGCCGGTCGGCCATGAAGAGCCCATCCAGATTGGAGGTGAAACGATCAGGGGTACGCCAAAAGATTATCCAGACTATGCAGGGCACTTAGAAAATCTTAAACACCTGTGCCGGGATGGGTGTTTGAGACCAGAATCGACAATAGACCTCGACGAAGCTATTCACATTCTGCGAGAACTTACAGAAGCGACTCCAGAGAACAATCCACAACGAGCAGCACGTTTAAGCAGTCTTGGAATCCTACTTGCTGATAAATATTCGAGGATAGGGGGGATAAATTATCTTGACGATTCCATTCAAGTCGGAGTGGAGGCTGAGATGCAAACTCCAGAGGATCATCCAAATCGGATCATGCGATCAAACAACCTCATGATCAGACTCGCCCTCAGATACACTAGAACAAGAAAGATTAGTGACCTTTCAGATGCTATTAAAATTGGACGAGAGATTGTCGATGCAATGCCAGAGGGCCATCCAGACTATGTCGAGAACCTGGACGCTTTCGGAACGACCCTCCGCAGCAGATATCTGACGACAAACGAGATAGACCATCTCACAGTGGCCATCAGAGTCCAGTTAGAAGCTGTTAGGTTAATGCCTGAAGGCCATTTAGCTCAGGCTAAGTATCTAAGCAATCTTGGACTTCTGCTCCACGACCGATATTCGAAAACAGACACAATGAGTGATCTTGAAGAGGCTATTATGCTGGGACAGGAATCTATTGATCTAATGTCTGAAGATGATCCGAACAGCGCGAATTATCTAACTCGTCTCGGAAATGAACTCTACGACAAATACACGAGAACCAAAGCGATAATCGACCTTCGAGAAGCAATCTCGAATTATAAGTCTGGGTTACATCAGATCTCCTCGCCTACTATCACGCGAATCCTAGCCGGCAGAAAAGCTCTCCAGCATTGTGCAAGTATTTCAGATTGGCAGCAAGCCTACGACGTTGCAAACACTACCATGCATCTCATCCCCGAGTTGATATCACGATTACATGATGATTCCGATAGGCAACATCTTCTGAGCCAACTGGTCGGCCTCGCCTCTGATGCAGCAGCGGCGGCATTGCACGCGGATAAAGAGCCATCAGTTGCTCTGAACTTCCTAGAGGTTGGGCGCGGCGTGCTCGAGGCATCAATTGAGGAGTTGCGGATAGAAATTGATGATCTCAAAGAGAAATACCCTGAGCTAGCAGAGCAGTTTCTCCAATATCGGAACGGACTTGGTGGCGGCTATCTGGGTGATCCATATCGTATGTATCAGCCGAGAGAGAGTCGTATTTACGAGGTGAATGCTGGGCTGGATAAGCTATTCGTCAAGATTCGTAAGCTACCAGGGTTTGAAGACTTCCTGCTGGTCCCGAGCGAGGAGGAAATGCGGATTGCTGCGAAGAATGGCCCTATCGTCGTCATAAATGTGAGCAACTATCGCTGCGATGCAATACTTGTGGAGGAGCACCGGATACGGTCATTGGCTTTACCTAACTTCAATAGTCAGGAGATTAAGGATAAGGCAGAGCAAGGTGATCTGGGGAGTCTTCCTGTTCTGAGCTGGCTGTGGGACGTCGTCACGCATCCGATCATAGATGCCCTAGGATATACTCAGCCTCCGTCTGAGGGCAATTGGCCGCGTATATGGTGGATCCCTACAGGTGCTCTCAGCAAATTTCCTCTGCATGCTACTGGAAATCATATCAGAGGTTCTTCCGAATCAGTACTTGATATGACCTTGTCATCGTATAGCTCGTCAATCAAAGCGATCATAAACACCCGTCGACGTCGCAATCTACCACCTCTAAGATCCTGGGCTCTGCTTGTGGCTATTGAGAATACGCCGGGAAGTCCTAGACTCCCTTTCGCGACGAAAGAAGTAGCAATGTTAGAGACTCTATGTAGAGAAATGGGTATCAAACCTATCAGGCCAGGCCCGGGCCCACGAGATGTCGGTCCACTTTTGCTGCAATGCAAGATTTTCCATTTCGCTGGCCACGGTCATACAGACAGGGATCCATTAAAAAGCCATTTCGTGCTGGAGAAAGGTAAACCGCTATCCATAGCTACTCTTCTAAAAATGAATATGCGAGCAAGGCCACCATTTCTCGCCTACCTCTCCGCTTGCGGGACTGGTAGGGTCAGAGATGAGAGATTTGTTGATGAAAATATCCATTTGATCAGCGCATGTCAGCTAGCGGGATTTCGACATGTTATCGGCACTCTATGGGAGGTCAATGATGAATTGTGCGTAGATATGGCAAGGGTTACTTACGAGGGAATGAGAGACGGAGGTATGACAGATGATTCGGTGTGTCGGGGGCTCCATAAAGCTATAAGAGAACTTCGAGACCAATGGCTAGAGAGTTCCACTGAGGCCGAACATAGAAGCAGGTTGATGGGGAAACGAGATACATTGGCAAGAGATGATTCAGGGAGCTCAAGTGATGGAGGTCAAAGGCGTGATGACTTGCCTAGAGATATTGTTTCGTGCGATGACTACGAAGACAAAAGACCATTGCTCTGGGTTCCTTATGTTCATTTTGGCGTATAAATTATCGACGAGCCAGCAAAATATCAAACATCAAGCAATGGCGTATGTAAGATAGAAGTGGATTATTATCTCACTAATATCTACTTCAAAGATGTGCGTATCAGAAAATTCAGAGCAGCCCACTCCTCCGAAACTTCTCTGTACTTGTGGTAAACCCTGCTAGTATTTCGCTCCTTAATAGCTTGACCGAATTTCGGCAACTCTAAAAGATCAAAAGATGTCGGCTGAGAGGTGATAAAGACCTTGATCATGTCTTCACACTGCCGAATCCCTTTCTCTCTCATCTCGGTCGGAACCATCGTCTTTAACTTCTTTAACATACCTGTGGACCTTTCTCCTTTACGCTGTGGAAGAATGACTTCGTGACCACAATATATATCTTGGACTTGCCAAAGGGGACCCAGATCAAAAACGTGGACGTAGAGTTCCTTATCTCCATGGTTTTCTACTTTCAATTCAAACATGAACTTTGCTGCTTCATCCTGTTCTAATTCTAAGATAGATCCCGGAGCGAAAGTCCCTCCGGAGCGGGTCATGATTTGAGCATCATAAGACTCCGTGAAAGCATCCGTTGGCAGGTTATTGGCCAGATCACGGCCCAGTTTGTACCTGGCCAAGTGTTCTATAGTGTCGCAGATATAGCCTACATCCATTTGGTCCTGCCACATCGTAGGTAAATTGCCAATCTTTTGACTGGATTCGTCTAGGATTTCGTACTCCTTCTTGACGTTCAGTGTAACATGATATGAGAATTGACGTCCTTCTGTGTCTAAACAGACACCAAGTGACCGTTCTGTTAGAGCTATGAGCCACTCGTCCAGCCTTGAAAGGTTAGAAGCGAGTCGTATTGGAAACTTTCGAAGGGAGAATCGGGTGAGAGGCTTTGCGATCCACCCCGTCTCAGCACGGATAGCTGTTGGGTCCAATAGCTCTAAGTCCGACGTAAGAGCTCTGACTTGGATAATCTTAGCAATTATAACATCTCCCCTTGCATTAGAGTCACTCTTTGGAGAGTCCAAGGGGCTTATGGCAAACTGATCGCCTTCACAAACACCGTGAGCCTGACCAGCGTGTAGGTAAAGGCTACCATCATGTTCGACGATTGAGACCGAAGGTACATCTATTCCCACATCAATGTGGCCGAAAAATCCTTGATTCTTGTTCCCGTAGAGGATTGGGTTTTGTTGAGGCCAGTGCTTCCGGAATTGAGCACACAGGTAATAATATATCATCTTATGTGGCTTCCTGAGGCCACCGAATTCTATGAAGTTTCTGGGCAGAAAGTAGGACAATGCTCCGTTGCCCTCGCCGCTCACAGACTTAAGCTCTTTCGCGAACTCGTGAGGACCACATGCGACCAGTATAGCATACCCCGTTGGGCTGATAAGCCAATTCGGTAGCATGGAAGCATCGCGGTTTGCCAGAAGATCAGCTCCCTTTGCGAGGTTCTTCACGGGGTCCAATGGGAATCTTGAGTCAATTTCGGTATTGTAAGGAAGGGACCGGATGCCGGAGTCGTCGCGGCGAGAAACACTTGCAGAGAAACAACAGTCCAGGACAAGTGTCACTACTAGTCCCTTGTCGACCATAGCCCTCAAGGAGAATGCCAATCTCGATCCCCAGAGATGCCTCACTTGATTCTCCTTTCCCCCGTCGCGTAGGACTAATGCCAGATCACCAGTGGATCTGTTAGAGAATTCATTGTATGGCTCCCATGGGGTTCGAGTTCCGTGTCCGGAAATAGTGGATATATACAAAATCTCCAGCTGTGGCCTGAACCGTAATCTTTTTAAAGGCTGAAGTCACGTTCTGGTATGTCGGCCAGAGCGATGGCTCTTCGGTTGGGCTACGGGACTCCGAATCTGCGCTCTTGGTTGCTGTAAGGACTTGGATGTGAACAGAGTTCAAAACTCCCCTGAGGTAGTTGGTGATATTTTGGACATCTCTCACGCAGCTGTCCAAAGAAAGCTCCGGATAAGCGTCGATACCGATCAGAAGCGCGTAATGCGTAACGACGTTGCCCTGACTGTTCATCATGCCCAGATAATTCTCGCAGTTCGTCTCTGAAAGGCTGGTGATTAATCGACAGGATAGAGTTATCAACCATTTGGACCACTGCGGGTAAGCGAGAACGCGGGCAGGGCTGCGGAGCAATCTAACCCGGGAAGTCACATTTGGGTACGTATTTGTGGTTGGGCAAAAATGTAAGGCTGCAAGGGAGGCGAGGTGCATGCAGCAGATAAACAAGTGAGGCTGCACTAGGCGAGGTGCATGCAGCAGGAAAACAAAGGTGAGGCTATAATCGAGGGCGAAATTCAAGACTTCCCTGGCTGCAGATACATAAACAGCCGCCAGTAGTCGTACTCTTATTTGTGCAAGATACTATTTCGTTATGCAGATTCCACCCAGTCAGTCCCTATCTCGTCGCCGTTTCTAATGGGCTGGCCACTTCCGGAGCTGAGAGTACATTTTCCAGCAGAGGGTAATGATGCAATCTCGTACGGTCCTTCACGAGATCCGTCGGAGTTAAGCAAATAGACCGGATCTCCCACGCGAAATGTTGGTTTCTATGAGATGTCTTAGCAAGAATATATCTAAGCCATTATTGATCTGGAATGACGAACGTGGACGTAAGGTGTCACGTATGGACGATCTCCCTCTTTAGAGAAGACAACTGTATTACTCTGGGTACTAAATCTGAAATATTAGGGCAAGATGATAAGATTAAATAGCCAAAGCCCAGATAGCTCACTTTGCAGAGGCAGACATATTGTGGAACTGACAGAGACGGTGTGGTCGGTGAGCTCGTTAGCTATGAGGGAGAAAAGTAATTGTGATGTTGAAGCTGATATGCTTGGGAAAGCTGCCCATATTTCAAGGCGGGTCTGCGGACTACTTATGCATTACTCGCAGCCCAATGCGGCACGGGTTGCAGGGGTGGTGTGACGCCAGAGATTGTTCATTGTGCTGGGAAAGTTGACACCGTGTGGGGGGCTGGGTTCGGGTGCTTATATGCGGCTCGAGGAACGCGTGATTCATTTTGATCTTCACTGGTCGGTTTGCCTTGAAATGCAAAATCTTGAACTTACTCGTAGCGCTGTGACCTTGCACACCAACTAGGCAGGTGTTAATAGGCAACCAAACAGCTCCACATTCAATTGAGACACCCACAAATACCACTAGATAATTTGCGATATTCCCTGCTATCTTCTGCGATAATTTCTTTTTCTGTGACGACACGGCTATAGGAGGGTGAAACCTCAAATCGTATCTTCCAGGTTGGAAAATCCCAGAGTCTACTATGGCGGATGAAGCACAACCTAAAAAGAGTACCTTTATCACTCTCGTACAACTTAGTATGCTAATCACATACAGTTGAGGATTACAGGTCGGGATATCCCCGTTTCGCTGCACTCATTTCGGCGCATGACGGCTACTTTGTGTGTCGGCGTTTCAACAACCTTCGAGGTCGACTACTATTGTTGAAGCAGGACAAGCTCTCGATACTTGAGCAAAGACTAGATGAAGTTGATCAGCAAGAGACTTCTCTTCTCTTCCTTGGAAAGTGCCGGTCTGATAAGAACCCGGATCGGATATCTCCTTTGGCTGAGATTGATACATGTCTTGCTGATTATGGTATATATCAAAACGGCAAAACCTACATTCAAATATTAAAGAGCGATAGACGATTTCGTCAAAAGGACCTGTCAGATGCTGGGTTACAGCCCTGCGCAACAGAGAGATATAGCGAGCCTGCAGAACTGGCTGGACGGCACTGGTTGTCTGGCCAGAGCCGAAACAGAGTACCTCACATATTATCGAGAGCTGGCTTCCTTAGCTCCAGCGTGCGACAGTGCAGTAGTGCATCTCGAAGCTTGGGTAGAGGACAAGCTCATACGATTCTATCGGGGGTTTCGAAAAGTATATATATCCACGGTGACTAGAACTTCAGGCTGATAATTCGAACAGAGCCGTTTTCACGACATCTCAACGGATACAAACGTATATATCTATTCTGGACCCCTGATCAAGCGAGCCGCTAAAGCATTACTGTTGTTTATGATAACACTTCTGTTGCTAATGCCAATCATTATCTGCAATGTAATTAACAGGTTTTCAACTCGAATTATTACCGTTATAATTTTCACGATTTCGTACCTTTTCATACTCTCTGGGCTAACTGGGTCGAGGGCGATGGAATTAGTCATCGCCGGTGCAACGTAAGGGATACCATCCTCAGTTTTTCCATTAGTATTGACCACCAGCTGATACGATCCCCGTTAGGTATGCCACCATATTGATTGTATTTGTGTCTGGCACTAGCGCTGTTGAATGCTAGAAACAATCAATAAACCAAAATAGTAAGGCGGGGACTCAACTTTCTCAAATCCGTGTCGCAGTTTCTCAAATCTGAAGCTAGTGAAAACTTTGTGCCTTACAATTACACTTCCAGCACTATTTAAAGTGTACTTGAGGGCTGAAAAGTAAGTAAATGAAGTCATACTCCCCTGTTGCCCCTTCCGTTACATGAGACTCGAGCACAGACAGCTCGCAAATCAATCATATGGCAAAAGCCTCATTCCATTTCACATCATTTCAAAAGACACGCCTCATCCCAAACTCTCTCAAAACTCGAGCTTGTCGTTTCAATACAAACACATACTCGTGACCGGCGCCACATCTGGAATTGGCAAAGGTTTATCAGAACGTTTTGTCAAAGCTGGAATCAAAGTCACAGCTGTAGGGAGAAGACGGGACAGACTAAACGAGTTTGTTAGCATTGATGGAACAAGCAAAGTCAGCGGAGTGGCCTTCGAGGCACAATTGAAAGTGCGCTATTTTTAATGAGTGGCCTTGAGAATTGAGGGCAAGATGACGCTGCTAGGCGTGACTTGTGTATTCAAGGGAGTTCCTGACTGATCGGTGGCGTAAGTTTCGCTTCACTTGACAACAATTTCCTTCAAGTGTCTTCCAGTCGAAGGAGGAATGCGGCGAGGGGTTTTGAAGAACCCGTGCGTACACTAAGCCTTATTCGGAAAGCTCGCTCAGCGAAAAGGGGCGAAAAAATGAGGGGGGGCACACATGGGAAAGCGGATGCATATGGACTCGGATCCTATATTGTCTTTGACTAGTCTTTAAATTTCAGATCAATTACCGAACTCAACTATGAGGTGGACTGAGGACCACGAACTTACGCCACAGAAGCTACTGCTGCAAGACATTTACCACATTCTCGGGTTCTGTATGTCTTGCAATTATCACGCTCTATATTCTACGCCACAGAATCGAAGCATTCCACCGCAGGCTCTGCCAGTCTTCATACTTGCTGTACAGGATGCACTTTTCATTGAAAGCTGGATATTCGTCGTGACTCAAATTCAACTCTACCACAGAAGTATGTTGGAGGTCAGACTGTCCATTTGTGCATTTTCTTTTGGTATCCTTGTCAAATTGTTACAGTATACATTAGGTTTTATTCTTGACTCACAGCTTTAGAATAACACATTCTCCACTTACTCGACAGGAATGAGAGGGGCATCGACGGAATTGATATATATCTATGAAGATCTTGCCTGATAATTACATGTTATTGTATTGAGATATCGGGACATCCTTTTTGTTGTTTATTTGAAAATGACAGACAGCGGGGTCAGAGATAATGAACAACACATGAGTTTTGAGTACTCTCTCAATCCCTTTCAATATACCTACAACCCTCAACAGGGTCACGATACTCCTTCTCATACTTTCACCACCATCAATCTAGGTCTTGACTTCATTGCACAGCAACCTTACATTCAACCTTTGCCCCCCAGCAACACAGCGGTTAAAGAATTTTATGGCAATAGGAGCACCACGACAACAAGAGAAAATGCCCCACCTTTGGCTAAGGTTGTTCCTTCGGGAGGACGAGGTGCACCCAATCTGCCCAAAGCCTCTTCTGTAACTTCTATTGCTTCGAATAATCCTTCTATTGCTTCGAATAATCCTTCTTTGGCGTGCAAATATCGTACATTATTATCAGCTCCCATAGCTTTAGCCTCGACTCAACCAGTAGAAGTTATCCCACTGGTAGATAAGCCAAAGCCTTCGCCGTTAGTCACTTTCCTTTCTTTTCCTTGGCACCAGCAACCAATCTCATCTCTCTTTGATGCCATTTCTCATGAATCTTGCACTGCTTTATAGTGCCATAAATCAAGAGAATATTCGCATGTTCTGCAACGAGCTATCGAATTCGAATCTAAATACAGACTTGGTCGCAAAACGAACCTTTCCAAAACTATCTAGTTTACTTGGCCATAGCAACCCTCCTGGGCCGAAATCGATGATGGGTCAGTTCAGCGCAAGAAAGTCTGCGGGTAATCAGAAGAAGCACAGATGTCGAGTCTGCGAGAAGCGTTTCGTCAGACCGAGTGCGTTGCAAATACATATTTACAGCCACACTAGTGAGAAGCGTGAGTTCCAATGTCTCTTACCACCGCTAGAACAGCTTTTTAACTTTTGTACAGCATTTAAATGCGAGGTTGAAGACTGTGGAAAATACTTCTCTGTTGTTTCGAATTTGCGTCGGCATGGAAGGATGCATCAAAGTCAAGGCATTCGGCAGCTTCCAAGAAGTAGATCCGCTAGGGAGCTCAAGGAGATTTAGGTTCTTGTTTTTGTTATCAATTACAGGAGCGGAGAACCGATCTGAAAATTTGAATAGAAAGCCGTGGAACATTTCTGCACTCAGATTTCAGTTCATTTCTGGAGCGTGTCCTCCATGATGATATAAATATGTTGTCACTTAGCTTCGCCCCACTCAGATGGTTCCTTGCTGCCACTAACCCATCTTAGTGCTGGATCCATATATGATTTATTTGACTAAGGTCTGGGAGGCTGGTCTTGCAGTCGTATCGGCGTCAATTACAACTCATCCAACCGATGTCGAGCAGTTCGATCATTGTTAACCAACGCACTGAACACTACAAACTTGTGACCCAACCCTCTTCAAGACCAATTCCACTTCGTGGTAATCCATCGTCTGATATAAATTTGATTTTTCTAACTCAACTTATACGAGGTTTATATCACGTTGTTGCTTAGAGAGCTTATCGTGTTTCTTGTGCTCGAAAAGAGGTCATTTCTGGGTGATGTCGAGTGGAAGCTGCATATGCAACAACACAATGCTGCGGCCGTAGTTCAGAGCCGCGTGACCTTGCTGTAGCAAAATGTGATAGGTACAACTTGAGGCTTGCTGGTGACTCAAGGGTTCAATTTCTATTCGTGGAGGTCCCTACCCCTGCCATATCGTCTCTGCCTGTCTCCGTAATTTCGTTGTCCAGTCAAAATTAAGATTAGGAGATGCAAATCCATGGGAACGGTAAGTCCATTCCAAGCACAAAAAATGGGTCACTGAGGGTATAAATGAGGCTAGCCGAGCACCGTTTAATTATGTAGGCATAAAAGTACATTCCGCTAGCTGGCCTCCTAGAACTCGCTGGATAAACGAAATGGCCAGGAAAGGCGCCGAGAGAGGATCTGGATTAGTGAAGGTACGAAAGGGGCTTGAGCTTAGACTGAACAAAGAAGATATAGAATAAAAATGGTGCCATAATTTGCGGATTACCTCACCAAGCGACGAGAAAGGTGTGTCAAGAACCCCATCTTTTGAATATCCATAAAGATCAAAACACCGCACGACTTGTCTTAGTAACAACCGGGTATGAGCAAAGCAACACAGCCTTTTGCATTCTCGTTGTAGTCAAGTGGAAATAAGGGCAGCCCTTCGACGTATACATCAACTTTGAATACCGCTCTCATTTGATATGATATACCGTTCATCTATACATCTCCCTTTCGCCCCTCGTTAGTCCCCTTATTTCTATTCATTTATAACTTAAGCAAAGTCCACTCAACTGCCAGGGAGCTTCCGGAACTCCCTGTCCTTTGCCAAAATGGGGGGCCAAAAATGGACGCTCCTAGTTGCGGTGCACGGCGTTCAAGTTGCTCTAGCTACCCCCTTTCTAGGTGGTCTAGGAAAACGAATGCAGTCTATTGTAACGGTCATCGAGATTCAGATGTGTACGACTACTGCTACTGCTTGGGTGTGTCAATCAACTACTTTGGGATCGATTTTTCTACCACGGACGACTTCAGCAAATCCACCTCCACCACCAGCCAGCAGCACGGTCATCTATCCTGTCCTACCACCAGCAAACAGTTCAGTAGTTGAGCCTCCACCTCCAGCAACCAGCAGCTCAGCAAGCCCTCCTGCCCCACCGCCAGCAAGCAGTTCAGCACCTCCTCCAGCAGCCAGCAGCTCAGAAAGTTTTTCATTTCCATCACCAGCAAGTAGTTCCGTAGTTGCACCTCTAGCAGCCAGCGGCTCAGAAAGTTCTTCATTTCCATTACCAGCAAGCAGTTTAACAGTTGCAACTCCGCCTCCTCCAGTAGCCAGCAGCTCTGTAAACCCTCATTCTCCACCGCCAGCAAGCAGTTCAATAGTCACAACTTCGCCTCCTCTAGCAGCCAGTAGCTCTACAAACCCTCATTCTTTACCACCAGCAAGTAGTTCAATAGTTGCAACTCCGCCTCCTCCAGCAACCAGCAGCTCAGAAAGTCCTCCATTACCATTACCGGCAAGCAGTTCCGTAGTTGCACCTCTAGCAGCCAGCGGCTCGGAAAGCTCTTCATTTCCATTACCAGCAAGCAGTTCAACAGTTGTAACTTCGCCTCCTCCAGCAGCCAGCAGTTCTGTAAACCCTCATTCCCCATTACCAGCAAGCAGTTTAATAGTTGCAGCTCCACCTCTAGCAACTGGCAGCTCAGAAAGTCTTTCATTTCCATTACTAGCAAGCAGTTCAACAGCTGCACCTCTGCCTCCTCTAGCAACCAGCAGCTCAGTAAATCCTCCTCCCCCACCACCAGCAAGCAGTTCGACAGTTGCACATCCGCCTCCTCCAACCACCACAGCAACCACGCCACCACCTTTGGCCAGTTCTCCTCCATCAACAGCGGCAGCTCATTTCCCGCCCACCTCTTCTCTTGACTTGTCTTCTCCAAGCATGTCTTCTTCTCCAAGCACTCCTGCGGCTATCTCATCTACGAGGCACCGATTCGACCTAAGCTCAATAGCATCAAATACTGTCACGTATTCGTATGCTTGTACTGCAGTACCCAGTTCGTTCCACATTATTGCACAAGAGGCTGGAAAGCCTATGCAGTATCTTTCTGAGGTTGATGTCCCTGGATCAAATGCAGGCGAAAACTTTTATGGTTTTGAGAAGTTGCCATTGACCACGGATATTGCCAGTGCGGCAGTGTTCAACACGAACAGCTACCAGAACCTGGTTGCGAAAGCCCACATTAGCGGCACCAGAGGGCTTACAACTGTCTATGGAGCAGTCAGAATGTCCGCATTGGGCAATTCAAATTTCCAAATGTATCCATCATATCACCTGGCCCCAGACATGCTGAACTATACCGTCTCAGTCGACAGCCAATGTGTTCTATCTCTTGCTGCGCGAGGCGCAAGCATTTCTTCTGGTATTACTCTCCGATTATTCGGTACCTTTGAATAGTAGACTGACTTGGTTTCAGATTGCAACGGTGTTCTTGCCGTTTTGACGCCCAGATTTCAGGACAACCGTGGATCGACTTGTAACGTAGTGACCTTGTGTGCTGTTGAATATCCACCAGCTATTACCCACAGCACCACCAGCTCGTCCAGTTCGCCCAGCTCACCAAGTCTAGTCATCACCTCGACTGCTGTTACAGCAGCTGCGACTACTACCGGCGCTGTTGCAACCACATCACTCGCCGCCTGCCAGGTTGCACCTTACTTCAAGATTGCGGCCATCGAGGCGGCAGTCATGAGCGGAGACCCCCCTCTGGACCCCCAATACCTGTACGATCCAATGTCGAACGACGACGACAAGCTTCAATTCTCTCCAGATATCAGCGTTGGTGCCATATTCTCGCTCTCGCCTACGGGCCAACTCGAGTTCTCCGTCACGGACATGTGGGGCACACAGGTTATTTTGTTGTCTGACCAGGATGCTCACGTATGTCATCTCCCATCAATTTCCAGGCTCCTACTAACAAATTTTGTAGAATGCTGGTAATGAAGCCATTTTCTTCTCGACGGGTACTCTTTATGATATGTACTCGTATCTTCCGGTTGTTGCTTCCCTGAATGCCGACTGCTCCATTTCGATGACACTACCATATGACGGCGCTTCTACTCTTCAGGTAAGCAGGCTCCGAACAGACAGATTTGTCTCCTCTACCGTTCCATTCCTAACCAGGGGGTTGTTTTTAGATCTGCGAAGGAACCTTGTTCCTCATGCTCTCCCCGAGCCCCACATGCAGAAACGTCAACTTGGACATTGTGCCATACACGCTAGGATCTTCTTCCAGTGTGGTCGCAACTACTACCGCGATTACTTAAGAAAACCATCGAAGAGCGGCGGCCGACACCAACTCGATTCCCATCCCTGATCCCCGCAATCACTAATAGGAATCGCCTTGTGGGAAGATATTGAATAGAGTCTGATCCTGAAACTAACAAATATAAGAAAATTAGATAATTGAAAGGGGGGCGTTCGGAGCTGGCGTTTGTTTTTAATATTTTTGCATGCAGCTTGTTTAATTCTCGCGGGCTGAATAATTCTGAGGTCTTGCTTCTGTGTAGTTAGTTACATCTTTCTAAATTGCAGACCACTCCTCCTTTATTTTGCCTCCGAAATTTGCATTGTGGGAGTCTTCTCATCGAGGCCGACCTCGGGGAAGATGTTTTGTATCGTAATACATTCCTGGACTCTACTTGTCAACCCCCTTACTTTCTCGCTTGGCGGAGTCGAACACTTCCCAAAATATGCACAACAACCACATTTAAACTTGAGGAAAACTCTATAGTATGGAACCATAAGAACTATATATCTCTTCAAATTTGAATAAAAGGAAAGTGAAATTCAAGGACGCTCGAACTTTCGAAGTGTTCTCAGAGTATTGAAGAAAAGGAGTGAAGCGAGTTGGACCGGGTTTGCTTAACTTCTCTGACACACAACTGACATTAGGCTCCATTTTCATATGCAGTACACCACCGTCCCTTTTGCCATCCATCGAAACTAGCTATTGTCCATTACCCCACACTCGGCTTAGGTCACAGAGCACCGTACGCAAACATCGCGGCGGCAGCACCCACAGCCAGCATCGGGGCCTGCGTCATGATGGCTGCCCAAGCAATCGAAGAAGAAGTCGTTGAGGCTGCAATGGCAACGTTTGTATCTTCCCGAACAACCAGTGCTCAATCAGACTTACTCGCACCTGCTCCAGTTGCACTGCTCCCACCACTCTTAGTAGTCGCGCCATACCAACTCTCCGTGCTCACCGCATCGCCAATACACGCCAAGCCAGGAGAAACTTCGGTCATAATAGCTCTCTTGACCACCGTCTCGGCGTCGCCATTGCTGCCCCCCCCTGTGTACTAAGCTGAACCGACAAGCTCAATCCCACAGAATCTTGGGACGCTGATCACGATGCCGCGGTGGCAGAGAGGGAGGATGCAAGGGCGGACCCGCGTGAAGATTGGGATGGGAAACGAGAGGAATCTCGCGAGTCCTCGTCAACGGCCACGGGCGCTGCAAGCTCTTTATATTCAGAAGGAGAGCTTAGCCTGAAAGAGCTGGGCTCGAGTGGGTTACGCCTGATCCTGATATCAACGTCCGCCCCTAACGACGACGGGCGTGTACCGAGTATCTTGAAATCAACTCACGGTATAACACTTATGGTCACTCCGCATCAAGGATCTTCCCTTGCGGCTGAGGAAGCAAGCTCGCCAAGCATCTGAATGTTGTCCGTCGTGTAAATCGCGAGAATGTCAAGGTTCTTGAGACTTCGTCACCAGTTTTGAAGACAGTCGAAGAGAACTTCCCAGAAGCTGTTGCTGAGACCTGAAATACAAAGATTAGATCCGGATCTTTACCTTTTATAAAGAGGCGGCAGTTACCGGGTGAGGTTCATTGTCCCAAAAGATTCTGCACAACTTAAGCAGTACCCGAGTCTGTCCATTCATGCAAACTATATGAACAGGACGCTGGCACTGCCAGAAACACCTACCATGTCAACACGCACTCGCATGGCGGACCCCAATTCCAGGGGGCAATGTTTCTGTCAATGTTTCTGGCAATACCTTTACTTGGGGGAAATGAGTCGTACGAATGATGGTTCCGTGACTCCCGTTCTTTCAAGATTTTGAGCTTCGTGGTAGCTTGGTCAGATTGAGCATGCAGACCAGAACTATCTGGTCCTTCTTGATGTTGTTCTTTTACTGTGTGAAGGGTCGAGTCCTTCTTCTCCGGAGAGATCAATGAAATGAAGTGAAGTTCACTTACCTCGGTTTCCCGAAGGGGGTCAAACCAGTCCTCTTCCGGATTAGTCGAGTTCCCCAATAAACAACCCCACAACAGCGCTTGGCGGTCTCATCTCATCGCTTCAACGCTCAAATTCTCCACGGCTGCTACTGGAACAAGCGTAGAATTCATCTAGGATCACCATATCTCCATGACATTGGTGTGTTTCGCGTCATCAAGCATCGTCACAACAAAACATTGCAACAAAGACACTTTGTCGCTCTTCCTCGACGCCTATCGCAGCAACGACGGCCTTCCTACGTCTTCATAGATCACTCATCTGCTGTGAAACGCATCAACGGCATGCAATCTCCGAGCTCCCGGATCATCATTCTCATCACTTGATGCATCATTTCACAATCAATCACATCACCATCATGCCACGAATCAACTCGTTTCAATTTCCTCAAATCCTAGACGGCAGCAGCCCGCCAATACACTTCAGATCTATAAGCCCATCGCCAGTATGACTCGATGAACTATGGAGGGCTTCAATCCTGCCTTCTACACAAAAAAAAAACGTAGAATGGTCTCCTCGCAGAAGCGTATTCACCCCACCAACTCCAGGCAGCTCGATGTCTTGTGTCTTCTCAAAGATGAACAAAGAAAGAAAATGGAGACCGGGATCTCGAGAAACTCAAACAATCATCGGATTCTTCTCCATCGGCCCAACCGACCGATTGGGAAGTTATTGCGCAGAACTTTTTGTTTCGTTTCCCAAACGCCAGCGCTAAAGTCAATTTCATTCATTCTCCCCCAAACTCAGCATCCAGCGACATCAACGCGAAACAGGCACGTCTTGATTTCCGTCGGCACCGGGAAGGCAGGGCGCTGGAAGAAAGCAGCTTACATCGTTCCTTAGATGCATCCTGCTTCTACCATAACACTCAATCAGAGTGGCGATCTTGCCCTTGCCTGCGCACACAATCAGCAAGTTCATCTATATCGTATGGGAAAGACTAGGTAACTTACACATCATCGTCAACTGCACCTGGCAATCCGTGCACACTCTCAACGGACAATCTTGGCACTTGCCAGCTGCCAACCCGGGACAGACCATGCAAGTTCTCTTGTGCGTGTTTGCAAGCTGGCCGTGGCCGATACCTTTTCCCCTACCAAGATCCACCCCACTACCCTCATTCAACGAGAAGAACTTCGTATGTCTGTGCTTGATGATCGCGAGTTTTTCCGCCTTGCAGCCCTCGCAGATTCGAGCTTTCTTGATATCGATTTGGCGCCATGGGCATCCGCGGCAGAAAAGCAACTGTTGAACTTGCGTGATATTCCGGCTGTCCGATTGAGAGGCGCTTCTCTGGACACCTGGACGTGGTGGTGGGCCCATGTTGCGGGAGTTGGGAAGGGGGCTGGTGTGTGCACGGTGCAGTGCTTGTGGGCGTGGATGCGAGTGGAACTGGGATTGGGCATCAGGCATGATGGGGCTCGAACCAGCATTCGAAATCGTGGAGGCGGATTGGGGGGAAGGACCCGTGACAGGACTCGGAGATGTGAAGTACGAAGAAGGTTTGGAAGGAGGAACGAGAGGACTCGAGGCAATATTCGGAGTCAAAGTGTTGGACAGGGTGTCAGGAGGAGACATGCCTGGAAAGATTCCGGAAGGGCTCGAGGGCCTTCGCGCATTGGGTTGTGGTGGCAGCTTGTGGGCGCCATTGGTCAGCGCAGTGACAAAATTCGGGCTTGGAAGATTCGCATTGCCTCCTCCCGCGATCTGCTGACCGGTGAAAATCCCGAGCCCATGGATAGGAGCACTAGCAGGATTTGGAGGACTACTGCCGCGCGGATGAGGTCTGGTATTGGTGTTATTCGACGCAGTTGCTTTGTTCCGCAATGGAGAACTTGTAGAAGGACCAGTAAGACTCCCAATTTGTTGCTGGCCATTCGAGTTTCGGCGCTGCGCGGTTGCCAAGTTTGCTGGAGTTGGAGAACTGTTGCCATTTGGTCGAGGTTTTGCGTTGGAATTATTCGAAGTGGCTGTGCTCTTTGATATGGTTGTGGGTCCGATGATTCCTCCTGATTTTGTCAGAGTGATTACTTAAACCAATGGTTTATTGGCAGGAGTCTGAGGGGGCAACGGACGATTACCACTGTTTGAGAGACGTCTCTGATTGGAGGCGTTAGCCACGGTCCCTTCCGGCAAGCTATCGGTTTCGTTCAGCATATTTGGAGGTCGTGCATTCGGACCACTACTGGGACGTCCCTGAGTGGGCATCTGGGTACCGTTCGGCATTGGCTGCATTGGAGAGCTTGAACCAGGTCCACTTGTAGCTCGATCTCGTTGAGCGTTCGGAGTTCCACTCCCATTGACCATCATTGACGGAGATTCTGGTGGCAAGCTGCCATTGAAAGGTCGTCTCTGGGGGTTGTTTCCAAGCATGGCTCTGCTCGACATTGGTGGTGGCATGGGAGGGCTCGAACCAGGACCGTTCGTAAGTCTGCTTTGTTGGCCATTTGATGTTCCAAGTCCACTAACCATCATTGTTGAAGAAGGTGGTGGCATGCTCCCATTAGAAAGGCGTCTCTGCTGGTTATTGCTGCCCGGCATTCCTCCATTGAACATCGAGGGATGCATAGGAGGGCTCGAACCAGGACCATTGATAGGCCACCCATTTGGAAAGGTTGGAGTCACGTTTCCGCTGAGCATTATTGTTGGAGAAGGCAGTGATATGGTGCCACTGGAGATGCGCCTATGATGGTTCTGGTAGTTGTTTCCAGGCTTGCCTCCATTTAACATCGATGATTGGATCAGAGGATCTCCACCAGGGCCAGGATTGAGGTTCTGCTGACCATCGAGTGATCCACCAAAGTTAACCAGAGTCTTCGGGGACGGTGGTGGCAACGGACTATAAGGGGAACTTTGGCCGCTAGAAACGGTTGCCATCTGCTGAGCATTCGTGGATCCGTTACCATTCGGAACGGTTTGGGTGGATGGTTGCAAATCTGGTGGTCCGTCGCCCATAGAGAGATGTCTCTGGGAGTTGCTGCCAGTCACCCAGCTATTCGTGATTGGAAATGTTACAGGGGTGGCTCCTCCCATCACTGGAGAGATGTGACCACGAGCAGCTTTATTCAAACTCTGCAGCATGAACTGTTGCTGGGCTGGGCCCAAAGTTTCCACGAGCGTCGCCATCGCCTGCGTCTGCTTCGGAGTCACAACGCCAGCTCCCAACACCGGAGGCTGATTTGCACCGAGACGGCTACAACTTTCTACCAGAAGTTGCCATTTTTTCCGAGTATCCAAACTTTCAATACGCGCGGTGAACTGCTGTTTTTGCTGAGGGGTCATTCCCTTCAACCAGGCAGAAAGTTTTTCCCTATCCGGCACACTGAACGTGTTAAAGAGCGTTGACAGTGATACATTCGAGTCTTGCGGCAGCATCGGAGAGATATGCCCTTCAGCACCCTTAAAAGCACTCATCACCTGTTCATTGTACTGTTGCGCATTTCCGACCTGGAGATCGCTGACTGGAGCCTGCCGTCTCTCTTTCAGACTTCTATTATCTGTCAGTGCTCTCTGCTGTATCGCCTGCTTCTTAAATTCGTTGTCATCAGCCAGCTCCTTCAGCGGCGGAGTCGCAGCCTTGTCGCTAAGCTCGGTGAACCTATCTTGATTCTCGCGGAGGAATTCTCTTCTATCCTTATTTGCGTCAAAAGTGATCTTCCATCCGTCGATCGATGTGATTGTATCGTAATGGCATTGAGAACAAAACACTCCCGATGCCTCGACAGGAAGCCAAACCCTCGCGTCAGACACGCCGTAGTCGCAGTCGAACAAGCAAAATGAACAACCGAGTACGTCTTCATCTTCGATACGTCGAGATTTGTGCCACGTCCCCTGTGCGAAGAGAGGTGGATCGACCTTTTTTCTGGCAGGCTTGAGCTTCATCAGCGCAAGCATAGAGATGTCAACGTCAATAATTCCACGGCCATGAAATCTCTCAGCGGGTCTAGTTCTTGTCTTCATTTCCTCGGAGTCCTTCTTCTGATCACCCATAAGCTTCACCAGCATGGATTGGAGACGATGTTCTTCCATTTGATCTTCGGGAAGTTTAACTCCTGTCTTACTTCTTTCGTCGAGGTACTTCAAGTGCTGCTGGTGGACAATGAAGCTGTCGGATACTGGCTTGCCAGGGAGAACTTCAAAGTCGGAATACTGGGGGAGATCGTCAAATCCGAACACGTGCGGAAACATAGGGTCGTTCTTGTAGCGAATCTCGGCGTTGAACAAGTGCGAAAGGTCGCAATGTTTGGGGTCGTTACTATGTCCAGGGCCAGCCAACATCATGATATCAGGATCGTTGTATATCTTTCGCGGGCCTTGCCGGAAGGGCGAGATGCCACGCAAATCGTTCAAAGGTTGACGAATAGGACCAGGAGCCACAGCATTACCCCATTCTCGCTGCGCAGGACGCTTATGCTCTCGCTCTTGCTCCTCGTTGTCTGGTGCGTTTTCGAGATATGTGGCTATGGGACGTTTTTGGACACTTCCTCCTGCGCCGAGGGGAGAACTCGATGGTAACAATCCGTCTTTGACCTTCAATTTCTTCTGTGTGTTTCCACCTTTCGGCCCATCCTTGCTTTTATTCGGAGGAGTACTGAATGGCTGGTTCCCCTTGGCCCCCATATTTATCGATGTAACTCCCATCTGCCCATTTCCACCTGGCCCTCCGGTCTTTTTCTCTGGCGTCCCTGCCAACTGCCCACCTCCAGTCTTCTTCAACATCCCCTTCATCGCCCCCTCGGCATTAACCCCCGCTGCATTCGCTTTTTGTACCTGCTGTATCAACGTCGGCTTCCCCGCCGCCTCCCTCCGAATCTGCATCCCCAATTCCATCCCTCCTCCCGACGAGCTCCATCCGGACCCAGGAGTCGGCGTCTCATCCCTCAAGCTGCTCAGTGGACTGCTCCCATTGCTGAACACTCCCGACGCCCTCTCGGGACTCATCGCCGAAGCCCTCTGCGGCGTCTGCGCACCCAGTGGCGAAGCTCTCTCCATCTCGTCAGCATCGGCCAGGGCCTGCTCCGCGATCTGTTTGTTGACTGCTTCTGCCTGTATCGAGGCCCGCCGTCTGTGTGGTGCCATCGTTGCGATTGCTTTGCTCACCTACGACGCTGTTGAGAGCGGCGAGGTACAGCAAGTTCGAGGTTGTGCTGGGTGTCGCGCTGGTGGTAGGGAGGCAAGCATTCGAGCGTCGGCGGCGCTGTGAGAAGCTGATTGTACGGGGCGGAGGTCGAGACCAGGCAGGCTACGTCACGTTGATGCCGCCACTACGTTGTTGGCGATCAATCGAGGCGCCGGTGATAGTATGGGGTGAGAAAGCGTCCCAAGAATAGGATGGATGCCTCTGCTCCCGCCGGTCGGCCTGATCGGTGCCAATTCCTCGCCGGGTCAGCCAATTGGCGCGAAAGCGAAAGCTAAACAAAGCGCAAAGAGGGAGCGCGCAAAATGAATGCACAGAGCAATGTTTGAATTGATCTTATGTTGAATACTGAAAATATATTCACGTGCGAATCAAGCGACGACGAGGGTGGGGCAAGATATTCTGACAGCGGCAGCTAGGAAGAGTGAATAGCGCAGATAAGCGATGTCATTCCGCCAAACTAGGAATTTAAGTGAAGCTTAAAACAAGTGAACCGCTCTTTCCATGTTGAAGTGAAGATTAGCGAGGTGAGGAAAAGACCGCGAATTTCAAACATTGTAGAGAAACGAAGTCAAGAAAACAAGTTTGAATCAAATTTTGAGCATTGTTTAGATCAAGATACTGCTACTGCTATGCACAGTATGTTAATAGGTGAAGGAAGTGAAGTTCAGTCCCTGAATCATAATCATAGTGGCGCTTTCCGATCCGTGGAGTGACGTCTCAAAGTGGAGAAAGGGGTAGATGCCAAGCTAAGCGAGGTATGGCTTGGCAAAAACAACTAATGTAATCGGAGGAGAATAAGGATTGCATTTCTACGATGGCATGAAATTGAGGCTTCACATTTGCTCTATCCCCAAACCATGATCGAAATCATCGAATCGTGTATACCCGGGTATATCTACGCTCCAGTCCAAATCACTCTCAAATCCCCCATCTATCCAATCTGTTCCACGATCCAAGAACAACTACGCACCCAACCCTGAAGCCTGTCCCCCACCAGCACCCTTCAAGCTCGCCTCAATTGCCAGCCTCAACGCCTCGGCATCAGCCTCGCTCTCAACATGCTGCTCCGCAGTTCTGCTCGGGTCCTGCGCCTCCTTCATCTTCCCCTCCACAAACAAAGCAGCCTTCTGCTGCTGCTCCGCCAAACTCATCTTCTTCACATAATCCAGCACAACCTCTTCGTCGCTCTTCGCCTTCCCCTTCTGCGCCTCATGCTCAACTCTGCTCTTCTCCAACGCCGCCCTCACCATGCCCTCCTCATCATCCGGCGCCGGCTCCTCCTTCGACAACTTTAACGCGAGCTTAACATTTTCATCCTCATCCGTATCGGCATCTCCTTCGTCTTGAGGGAGATGGTACTCCGCGAGGCTCTGTTGGATAGCTTTCTCGAGCAGCGCTTGATGCTCGAGATCCTCGTCGGTCGCAGTAGCCGTCGACAATTCCTCGTCGGATCGTCGACGACGACCTTCGATGACACTGGCTGCAACTGCACGTTGGAGAGCTTCCTGATCAGTGAGTTTAGAACCTTGAGCAGCTTGAAGCTCACGCACTGAGGCACGGATAGCGCGCTCGATCATCATGTCTTCTTCTGGGTTGCCGCGGGAGGTAGCTGCAACGGAGGCGTGGATCGCGTGCTCGAACTGCTCATCTTGATCCGCATCCGGCTTGTCTAGAACAATTGGTGTTGTTTGGACAGCGCGAGGTGTATGACTATGTGCTGTGCTTCGGCGGCAGAAGGGGCAGTGGTTATGTTCACCAGCGGCAATAGATCTCTGGCGTTCTTCTTCCCGGCGGGCTTTACGTTCTTCGTGGAGTTTCTTTCGGTCCTCGAAGGAGAGATGGCGGGTTTGCATGAAGCCTTTTGGTGTCAAGCGGCCTCTCTCCTGACCATCCGGACCGCCTTGTTCTTCGAGTTTCATCTTCATGCTTTGGTACTCCGATTTGTGCTCGTTCCAGCGGTGGATAATGTCTAGACGTTCTTCTAGTGTGGCAGATTGCGCGTCTTCGTATCCTTGGGCAGTACGAGCGGCGATTATGTAGTTTAGTACACTGGAGCCAAACAGCTTCTGGATCTCTTTGTTGACCCCCATGAATGCGTAGCCAGGAAGTGCCCAAATAGCTGGATTGTAAGTCAGAAAGGTATAAAAACATAGAGAAGGCAGTACTGACCTGCGCTTGGCTTGAGAACAAGACCTCCAATACCCTTTCCAATACCTTTGAGAAGGCCAGCAGTGCCTTCCTTTTCGGCACCTCGTAGTGGCTGTGTGACCAGACCAGTAATTCCATCATAGAATCCATATCCAAATTCCTGCTCCTAATTAGCAGATGAAAATGGATATTGGATTGTTTTACTTACCTTTCCTGCAGCTTTGAGGCCACTCTGAAAATCAGTGACTTTCGCCTGCGGTCGAACCGTGTCGTCACCATACAATTTCGGTGCATTGTGAAAGCCACGAGCAATACCCAAAGTAAAATCCATAGGAGACTTTAATCCAGCTACCACAATTCGGGCAGCGCCCTTCGTCGCTCGAGTAGCATTCTCGATTGTAAGCTGGCTGGGATCGAACTCCTTTGTCTCCCTGCGACGAAACGGCGATCCACTGCGAGAACCAGGTTGTCGGTCCTTAGAACTTGATCGCCCAAAGGGGGAGTTGCGATCTCGCGATCGTGATCTTGATCTGCACAAGGCGCCCGAAAGGGCTTGTTTGAGCGAATTACCACGGTGGGCACCCTCTCTGTGGGTGTTCAATGATGTCGTGCTTGATAACGGGGTTTCAGTAGGTGACGAAGCATCGCTCAATGACCGACCTGTACTTTCGTAGGATGTCTTTGGAGTGGTTGCTGCCATTGAATCTTCTGTTTTATCAGTACCCTCGTAGTATGACTTCGGCTCATCGGTCTCTTCGGGGGCAAGATCAACGGTAGAATCTGTTCGAGAAGGTCCTTGAGAAGTAGAGTCTTCACTCGTTTTTTCTTTGTTTTCTTTAAAAGTTTCTTGCCTCTTTCTGACTTTCTTGAAGATCTCGATGGGGAAATCTGCAACCCCCATGGAAAGACTGGCAATGGTGCCTACGAGCGCAGATGCGCCACCAGTGATCGGATCCCATGGACCTTCTTCGGTCTCGTACTCGCGTGCTCGGTAGCTACTGATGTCAGTACATAATTGGTAAGATTCGAGTAATACTCACAGCTTTAAGTCTGCGAAATCAATCAGCCCCTCGCTTGCAAGCACGTTTGCAGCAAGAGCGCTAAGGTGAGTCTTCGTCCGCTTGACTCGCCAGACTGCCACCCTACTTGGGGAGAGTGCGCATCTTAACGTATCCACGTCCAACATGTCATGGAAAGCTTTGCCACCGACTTCAGTGCCTTTCTCTTCCTTCATCAATGCACCTAATTCTTGAGCTCGGGTAAGTGTTTCTGGCTTGAGGGCTTCCATGAGAGCCGCAGCGAGCTTTTCGGCCGTGAGTTGCTTGTATGGGATTGGAGGAGGGCCAGCACCAGCTCGAGCTACCATTGCACCCCAAAATGGTTGATCACCAAAAAATGGGACGACAATCGTAGGCCGGCCGGTTGCAATACCTGCAGCGGTGGTTCCGGCTCCACCATGGTGGACAACACATGCGACATGCTGGAAAAGCCAATCGTGAGGGACATTGCCCAGCATGAAGACGCCTTCTGGAATTCCCAGGTCATCAGCTCCTAGTCCACCCCAGCCCTTTGAAACAAGGGCTCTGACACCAGCCATCTTGACCGCTTCAAAGATAAGTTTTGTCATCCCATCCGGATCATCAACAACAATTGATCCGAAGCCGATGTACACTGGTGGTGGGCCCGCCGCGAGATAAGCAGCAAGTTCTGGTTCAGGGGTAAACGACGATGCCAGCGAGAGGAAGTAGAAGCCTGAGATTGAGATATGCTGGCCCCAATCCTTTGGCTTTGGGATAAGTGCAGGTGACCTGGACACCGTTAGCATTGACTTCGACAATGAGGAAGGCGTAAAACTCACCAGCAATAGGTATATGGCACACGAAGACGGCTTAGCATTCCAGGAGCCCAGATCAAACTGATTGGGTCCAGTCCCAAGGCCCGCTCACGAAAACGATTAATGACATCGCCCAGCCCTTGCCAGGTCATCATTTCAACCAAAGCATACGACACAAAATTCGCAATATTGACATCCGTGTTAGATGATTGAATGTTAGCTAGAGGGTGTGGAAATTGTTGAGTAGGTGACCAAGGCATCCTAGAACGTGTGAGCAGTATTTTGAGCGGTAAATGGCAACACATACGTAAACATCATATGAAGAGGAATGCCCATCTTCTCTGCAATATGGATATGGGCGAAACTAGGAGGATTTGCAATAATGGCATCGGCAATAAAGGGGCGATCTCCTGGGCTCATATCCATATTTATTCCGCCCTCGAAGCCGAGACTATCAGAACTCTCCCGCCTGGGTGGAGCTCCGAGCCCGTCACCGGCTTCAATGCAGGATCTCCAGCACCCAAGAACGATTTCTTCCATGCCCTTTCTTCTCTTGCCAACATCGCCGCTCTTCAAGGAATCGAATCCAGGCATCAAACCAGGGTTCTTGACCATGAATGCCATGAGCTCGGATGGATCACCACCGATGCTAAAGAATTCCAGCCCATTCTCTTCGACAAAGCCCTTGAATGTTGGATGTGTTGCAAGCCGAACACGGTGACCATACGTAGACTTCAATGTCTTTCCCAAGGCCACAAAGGGCTGGACATCTCCTCGAGATCCCACAACATGTATGACAACATTGAGTTTCGGTGGTGGTGTCTGACCTGGCAGTCCTCCTAAAGCAGGCGGAATATATCCAGGCGGTAGCGGGAGTTCCTCCTCTTGTGCCACTAACGAGAGCTGTTGCCGCAGGGCGGGGACAAGGAGGTCTGAGAGCTTGCGAGTCTTCTGGTTGATGTTTATGTTTATTCGACCATCGTCCGTCACTTTTGCCTTTGTATCGAAGCCGTCCTGGCTTAGCTCTAGCTGGCTTTCATTGTCGCCGTATGCGGGAGGTGCTTCGTCTGATGAGACTCCGAGGTGTTTTGATCTGTGAGTATTTACATCAGTAAAGGGCTTCTGATGAGTGTGCCGCAGACTCACTTCGAGGCTCCTCCACGGCTCTTAGTCTGATACAATGAGTAATCCGGCTTGGGAAGTCTTGATGGTCGTCTCTCTAAAGGTGAATCATCGTCGAATTGTCCAACGATTGCCGCCTCTGCTTGTGCGATAAGGGAGGAGGGTATGGCAGTGGGGTTTCCAGGCGCGTGTCTGTTGGATTTGGAAGCCATCGCTGCGACAGGCGCTGTTCCGTCTTGGCACAATCAGGACCAATGTTCTGGAGTGAGATCTCTATTGCCCCATGCGGTTCTCGATCCAGTAAATATCGTGTGGGGAAGGGAGGTTGGGTCGGCACGGAAATTTGATTTCGCGCCGCAACTCGCAGCAAAAGACTGACCCCGCTGATAATTCCCGAGAATCGTGAGTATTTCGACAGAACAACTCTCGTGATTTCCAACGACACGTTATCCTGCTGAGGATCCTGACTGGAGAGCGAAAAGCGGAAAGCGGATAGCAATGTTGTTCTTGGAGGGTCGAAGTTCCAAGGCGGGGCAGCTCGAGTGAAGCTTGCTTGTCTGGATTGTGGGGGGCGAGCAGGGATGCTGATATCTCGATAAATGGCTTTTCACATGCGGAACCCCATCTGCAAACCACCAGAACAGCCTGTGTATGGCGGCATGGAAGTTCAAGTTATACCTGCTGTGCATGTGCAGGGTCTCCGACCGCATTTCCCAATTCCCTTCCATTTTTAGGTCTTTGCCTCGTGGTTGATTCTACTGCCTAGGTATCGGCGTTGATGACAGGTCAGAGTGCAGGTTCTCAATCCAGCGTTTCCTGCTCCAGACACAGCAAGCCTGCAGGCGAACGGCAGTGGCCAATGAGAGATACGGAGCATGTTGAAGGCGACGGTCTGGGCGGTTGATGTGTGCATGAGGGTCGAATGAAGGTGGTCGTCAAGTTGATGACGAGTGTGTGGCTTTTCCTTTCAGGGTTCAAAGGAGTGTGGCGCGTCCTCGATCGGCCCTTCACTTCGGCTGCAGAACCAAGTTTCTTGCTTACTGTATTATTCGAGGATGGAAGTACTGAGTGTGGGAGTGCTGTATGGTAGGCTTTAAATCCGAAGGCAACGGACTCGGAAAGTCTGCAGCTTTCGAGGGATTTTCCGCGGCATACCGAGGCCGATAGCGATCCTCCTGCCAAAACCCCGAAAAAAACCAACTTTTTCCTTACTTTTTACTTTTTATATAATAAATTACTTATAATATAAGATATTTATAAGCTTGCAAATAGCCTATATACTTTTCTGGTTATTCTATTTAATTTAGATGAAGTAGAATTCTTCTAATCAGATTTTTTTTAGTTATTATATTTTGAAGTTCTTCCTTTTAATATTATTTTCTCGCTTAGAAATTTGAGGCCATTTCCGAAGTTCTCGAGATCTTTAAGTATAACTTTTATAATTCTTAACCTTTTAAAGTCATTTAAATTCTTATATATATATTAATTATAATTTATATAATTATAAAAGTAATAAGGGCTTTAATAAGCTTAATATATAAGCGAAAGATGTTTGGGGAGACCCTAGTAAGATTTAAGCGAAGCGGCCGCAATGGCTCGTGCACCCCGAAGGCTCGTGCACTCCGGCTCGTACGCCCTCGACTTTTCTTTGCCTTTATTTAAGAAAATATTAAATTTAATTACTTATATAAGAAGTTTTTTAAATGGCCCTTATTAATTAATAGAGAATTTAATAAAGAATTAAATGAATTAATCGGAATTTAAATAATTTACTTTATTTAAAAATCTCAAAATCCAAGTGCAATATGCGAATGTGCAATGTGCAATGTGCAAATGCGTAAATGCGCAAATGTCATGAAAAATCGGGGTTTTAGCAGTACAGGGCTGGAGGCCTCGGTACCATCATTGGGCTCGGGCCGAGCATCAAAGAGAGCGGCTTTTCAATGGAATTTGAGGGGGACCTAATGCTATAGGGGGAGGAGAGAGCAATAATAGTGCTAGGCACTCAAGTGGAAAGGGGGCTTTTAATTTGCATTCTATTACAATTAAAATAAAATAAAATTCGTGGAGGTTTAAAAGGACTTCTCGATTCTCTCGCTTACATAATAAGCGAAGCTACCCTCGCTAAATTTCAGCGTTCCATATAGCGCACTATCACTGTAGCGCACCCTTACTATAGCGCGTACCCACCCCTTAACCAAATTTTCCAAAATTCCAAATTAGTAATTAAAGCCTATAATTGTAGTAGCTGGTACTCCATAAATTAGCGATTAAGCCCTATAATTATGGCGATCATACTTGGAGATTTTTTTATTGGGGTAAGATTAGTCAGCGACCTGATTAGTAAGGTGAGGTGTGCCTCACGAAACCCGGGCCATAATAAGCGTCTCCCTTTCATCATCATTGCTGCCTAACTATATCGAACTTCGCTTTCGTGAGAGAATCACGACAACATCAAGAATGGCGGCTCGAATATATAATTGGTCCCCAGATCCGGCGATGCGATCTTTCTCTGAGGTCGAATTATCTGGAAAGCCGGCCCTCCGCCCTAGATACAAGTTCCTTACGTTCCTCAGCGCTGTTCAGGCTCTGAAAATCGACATTTTACCCATCACTTGGCAGGGAGCATGTCAGATAGCAGTTGGTGGAACCTCCATAATAAATGAATCCCTCGTGAACGTTCAAGCCAGCCTTGTGTTCAAATGTTTCAAAGAGGTTGAAAAACTCCAGAAGTCTGAAGACAGCCTATTCCAGACAATCATCAGCGAAATTGGTGTCCTGGGCCAAAGACCGATTCGAGGGCACCCTAACATCGTCCAGTTACAAGGGATATGCTGGGACATCTCGACCGATGATAAGGTCTGGCCTGCCCTAGTCTTTGAGAAATCTCAATATGGTGATTTGTCCTCATTTTTAGCCACACCAATTGGTAGAGAACTAGACATCAGTGCACGACTGCAGCTTTGTATGAACATTGGGAATGCCATATTAGATATGCATTCAAAAAGTAAGAAATGCTAGCTTCATAAAGATAGGATGAATCAACTAAAGATTGGTCTAGACATTATCCATGGCGACATAAAGCCCGAAAATGTCCTAATTTTCAAAGCTGACAACGGATTGTACTATGCAAGAGTAGCGGACTTTGGATACTCCTCTTTGTATGCAGATGAAAACGATACCATGAGGCTACCAATATCGCGGCCATGGAATGCTCCGGGGCATATTCGTCTAAATAGGGCGTGGAAGCCCTCTCAAGCAAAGAGGTTGGATATCTTCTCTTTTGGGATGCTGTGCATTTGGATTTTGTTCGAAAGGTACTTCTCAGGAACTTCTTGCCTTCCTCAAGAGCAATCGGCCTGGGCCACAGAGTATTTCCTCGATTCCGGTACTCCACGACATGCAAGAGAAATACTTACGGATCTGAAAAATGCGGACAAGCTTCTATTGATTGCCAATCAATTCATAGCAGCAGAACTAAGCCTGAATGACAAAAGAAAGAGCGCACTTGAAGAATTCCTGCGTTCAAGTCTCATTATTGACGGTGAAGATCAACAAGATGCAAGCATCCAACGACTGTTTGATGAGCTAGCACTCCCTCAGTAAGATCTGCTATTCCCCGCCTATCAAACAGACTAACGCTGCCTTGCAGACTTACAAAATGTGCTAATGCTATAGATTTGGATGAAATAGATCATTCGTTTTGGCACCTAAATTTCATGGTATGAGGTAGTTCATATTAATATGGAATCACTTACTGAAAGTTTTGCAGGTCGAAGCATCAATCTCACACCTGTATCTTTGCGACTTTAGAGTTCGTTCTCATATCATTTCTTGTCTTGAAAGAGACCTCCAAACGGACTCGGCCTCACTCCCAAGTGAATCTATTGCCAACATTGCTCTTCAAGTGGCAATTTGTTATGTAATTGGATTTGGCATCCCTAGAGACGAGGATATGTCACTCAAGATTCTCCGTCGAAGAGGATTAGATAACACCCATCTCAACGAAGCCGTGACCAGGTGTATCAGCGGGGAATGCGGGAAGACCCAGGGTTCTTTAATTAAAGTTCTGTTTGAACAAGGCCATCTCGAGTTTATCGAATACGGTACCTACTATATCGACCAAAAGAACGTAGCACTAGCCGAGGAACGACTAGTGCAAGAAGCTAGAGATCTTGGACATGTCTTCGGCGAGGAGAATGATATTGCACTTGTACTTCGATGGTACATTTTCCTCCTTTATCGCGCCCAAGGCCGGTGGAAGGAGGCTGAAGAGCTGGGAACGCAGCTTCTGAATACTCGAAACAAAACACTGGGTATGGAACACCCGGTTACCGTTGTCATCAAGATGAACCTTGCAGCCATATACTCAAATCAAGGGCGATGGAAAGAGGCCGAAGAGCTGATGGTGCTTGGGATAGAGACGACTAAAAGAGCAGTCGGAGCAGAGCATCCTACCACGCTAGCTATTGAAAGCAACTTGGTATTGACGTATTCACAACAAGGAAGATGGGAGAAAGCCAAGGAGTTGGAAATAGATATAATGGACAAATGGAAAAGACTACGTGGGGAAGACCATCCTTCCACTCTGACGAGCATGGCCAACCTAGCGACAGTATACAGGGCTCAGGGACAATGGGGAGATGCCGAAAAGTTAGAGCTGCAAGTTAAAGCGATAAGTACAAGGGTACTAGGTCAAAACCATCCAGATACGCTGATTAGCATAGCGAACCTAGCGTCAACGTATGCGAATCAAGGAAAATGGCTGGAGGCAGAAGAGTTGAATACGCAAATGCTAAATACAAGCAAAAGTGTTCTGGGGGCAGAACATCCACACACACTAACCATCATGGTTAACCTGGCATCAGTATACCGGAATCAAGGGCAATGGAAACAGGCTGAAGATTTGTTCAATGAAGGGTTAGAGGCGAGAAAGAGAGCTATAGGAGAGAAGCACCCGGATACGCTACTCACCATGAACAAACTCGCAATGACTTATTGGAACCAAGGGCGGTGGAAAGAGGCCGAAAATCTATTCATCGTCGTGTCGAAGGAGCAAAAACAAAAACTTGGAAACGAGCATCCAGACACAATGGACAGTATCGCCGGTTTAGCGACAACATATCTGAGCCAAGGAAAACTTGAGGTCGCGGAAACGCTAGAGGTCGAGTTCTTAGAGATAAGGAAGAAAGTACTCGGGGAAGAGCATCCATCCACATTACGAAGTATTGCCAACCTAGCGTCAATATACCAGAAAATGGGAGACTGGGAAAAAGCAGAATCTTACCAAAAGGACGAGCTACAGACTTGCTCGAGGGTGCAAGGCCCAGAGCATCCAGAGACGATAGCGAGTATGGCAAATCTAGCATCGACGTACTCCTACCAAGGAAAGCTAAGAGAGGCAGAAGAGATTGGAGCGAAGGCCTTCGAGATAAGCAAGAGGGTACTGGGGGGCCAACATCAAACTACATTGAGCTGCATGGCTAATCTCGCGGCGACATATGTTGAGCAAAAACGGTGGGAGGAGGCCGAGGTATTGCAGATTGAGGAGTTGCGGTTATGCGAACTGGTGGCTGGATCTGACCATCCAGGCACATTGGCTAGCATGGGTAACCTGGCCATGACCTATAAGATGCAAGGGAGATTGAAGGAGGCTGAAACGCTTGACATAAAAGTTCTGGAAGGAAGGAAGCGCATCCTTGGGAAAGAACACCCAGAAACCTTGGCCGGCCTGATTAACCTGGTCGACACGTATAAACAGCAAGGTCGGCTGGAAGAAGCAGAGAAACTCGTGAAACTATGGCTATAGTCCAGAGAATATTAGGAGAATAAACATGTTTCCACTCTTATGAAAGTGAAGGATCTTTGAACATACGGATATGAATGTATAGAACTGGTGTTGATATCTACTGGTTCCAGTGTCTGCTGTGGGAAGAAACTTGATCCTTATAACTATAATCCAGCACAACCAGCCTGGTTATTGTGAATTCTCGTGGATGAATACTTTAACCGTTCTCAAGCAAAGATCGATGAAAACCATACAATCTAATAGGATATTATAATCTTACCCGGCTTATAATAGTGAGAGCAAAAAAAAAAAAGGCTATAGTTGTTTGACTATAGGGCACAGGAATTATTATTGGGGGTCTCGAGGCGAGGAAAGTCGTTAAATGAGAGGGACGCCGCAATAGAACACTCAGGCGGCAGGTTAATTGTATTTAAGTGGCAGGAGAAATTCTTCGGAGTTTCCAACGAGGAAATAAGTCGGAATCATTTGATCATGTCACTTTGGAAAGCGCTTGACTCGTGTGGAAGACCTCTCTGCCTAAAATTCCACATTTCACCTCATTGGCCAGTAGTAGAGCGGGGCTTGATTTTGAACTGCTACACAGCCCCAGCCTGACTCAACGTGTCAGGAGGCTGTGCTGAAGTTGTTATATAATATTCGCTCCTCGAGAAGAGAATTTTCTCTTGATATTCATATAACTTTTGGCATGATCTATCATTCAGAACTATGGTAGTCGCATCAACTATTGCGTTATTGACGACACTAGAGCAGCTTGCATATCTGTAAAATAAGTTAGGCAGTTGTGATGGACGCGAAAAAGGCATTATTGTTCCTTGACAGAAGCATAGGGTATGAAGATCGTTTTGAAAAACACACTAGAAGATTGTTCATTGACACATCGACTGGCTGGGATGTCCAATTCCACGGCACAGCGTGGGATGATGGAAATGGCCACAACGCACCAGACGGTAAACATTTAATGAGCTATCTTCCTTACACTACAAGCCTAGCTGATGAATAGTTTAAGGTCCGCAGTCGTGCTCTATCGGAGACTTGAGTCAGCTTCAAGATATAATACAGGTAACAACTACTCTTTTAAGCTTTCCACTGTACCTAGAGGCATCGAACAACGCATTGCATAACGCTATGCGTCGGAAATCCAGTCCCGTTTGGCCGTGACGCAAAGACGGGGTTTATCAACGACGGATCCTCATTACCTACCACAAGTACGCATTTATAGAGAATCTGATCGTCTGTAGATATTCGACCGCAAACCATCTGCCCAATGCTTGTCAGTCTCACTATACATAACTTTTTAGATGCGGATCGGCTCATGTCCAGCAGTATAGTGCAACAGAGCAATTCATGGGACCGGTTTAAGATATCTTGGACAGGATTTTTAATCATATTGGGAGGTAGTGATACGTATGGACCCTTTTTTGACCTGGTAAGCACTTTTGGGTTAAAGCACAACCCTCACGATGAAGGCTTGAGTGGTTTCACATATCGGGTAAACTCCGTCATTGGCAAGCAACTATCGTACGGTAAGAGCTTAAATTCTCGTATCCCGTCACGGTATATTAAATTCCGTCATTGAAACAGAACTCTGCTATAATGTGCAATATGTCGAGAGACATGGGAGGATGGACGAGTATCCTTGGTCCTTCCGAAACGTTGCTCTTTATCAAAAGTTCGATGAAAAGAATTCCACATCACGTTGGATACTTCTTCAGCCACCAAGAAAGTTGAAGACCGCCCTCAAAAATCTCTTTGAAAACACACATGATAGTCACGAAAGAACGCGTCAAAATTTTCTCCTGATACATCTTCTAATATGTCTCATTACCGAGGCAGGATGGAGGCCATTTATCGCAGATCTTGAAAAAGAAATAGATACCCTGGTACGTCGAGATTTTTATATAAGAGGCATCTCTAATGCTCAAGATGCAAACAAGCAAGCGCTGATCATGTCACAATAGAACGACAAAGCACTCTTCTCACGCGTTGGGAGATTAGCAAAGTTTGACTATAGCGTGGAATTTTCGGATACGCAAAAGCTGGAACAGATAAGGCAGCGTATAATAAGAGCGAGTTCAGCTGTCAATACAAGTATCCGACTACCTGCAGGCTTGAAGTCAATTTTAGAGAGATTTGAGACGACCGAATGCCGCGAAACAGATAGCACTCTACTTCCGGAGCTCAATATGTACCTTTCTAGACTCGAAAGTCACCGCGTATCCCTTCAAAGATTACTCCAGGTTGCAGAAGGGACCATGACTCTAGTAAGTCTTTCATCTTAAACTTTATTATTGTTCTATTACTGAAATCTCTTCTTAGTTGCTTCAAATCTTAGACTTTCGTCACGATGAGGCCATCAACCAGAATGCTATCGCAACGCGAAATCTCCTCTCTGCCACGCATCATGAAAATGAATTGATGACGGTTATTGCCCGTGGAACGCAGCGAGACTCACGAACAATGAAAATTGTGGCGTTCATCGCCATGATATATCTCCCAGCTACTCTGGTTGCTGTAAGTTACACGTCCCAATCCCCATGTCACCCATCAAATATTCAGTTCAGTGCTTAATTCGTGGGTAGTCTATATTCAACTCAGAAATCGTGAGTATAGCGAACGGACAAGAGACCGAAACTACACGCATTCAGATTATAGCGTCTTTTTCCATTACCACTTTCTTGCTTACAGCACTCACTATCGTCGGGGCTATGATTTGGGATAAAGGAGGTTTTCCCGTGTCGATGCTGCGGGGACGCTCATCAAACAGCAGTTCACTATAATGGATCTGTTTTGATTCACTTGCGAATATTTAGATAATAACTCATTCTATTAGCCCCTCAATCGACATTAATCAATTGGTCATGTGATTAACTAATGAATTGCTTATTCTAATTCCTGACTGGCCGTTTTATAGCCTTAACCTTATTAACTTTATTATTAACTACCTCTATTTCAACGCCTTAGCCCTACTTTACCTTATTTTAAGAGGTAATATCCATGGCATAAGTATATTTAATTTCTCGTATACTATTAGCTATAAATAGGAAGTTAACTGAAACAGATCTAAAGTTTTGTTATTTACAAGTCTAGAAGATGCTAGGAGTATTTTGATTTTTATCTCTATTCGCTATTTGAATTTGATCCAAGAAAACTTGAGCATATCAAGCCCGACACCTGCTTAACGGAATCACAACCCTCTCTTCAAATTCACTAAGGATAGCAATCCGATGACTGGCTGGACTACTCGAGTTTGAACTGAAATCGCTCTCAAGACATGTTGAAACAACCTTCTGATAGATCTCGCCCACAGGATTTCCTAAACGAGGTACGTATCGTGCAAGCAAAAACTTTCTTAGACTCTCTGGACTCTTGTCGTCATCCTTCATTGTAGAAGCCATTGATTCCAAAGTTCTCCAGAGGCCAATCTCTAGTAAAACCAACCCAATGCTGTAGTAATCGTAAGTGTGGTTGAACCCTTTGTTGTCCATCAAATAGTCTGGATGCGAGAAATCCTGCTGTTCTGATCCGGCATTCATTCCATGCGTGAACGCATCCAACCCGTCTTGTCGACTATGGTTGAAACCGATCAAGCGCGGCTCCGTTATCGATTTTGCGGCGTCCTCGATATGAGATGGGAAGAAACAGACATTGAAAGACGAAAAATTCTCGTGAAGCCAGTTGGCTTTGTGAAACTGCAGGATGGAATACGCTAGGGCATGACTGAGTTCGAAGATTTGACCCAAGAAGGGCCTCGTCTCTATATCTCGTAGCTTGCAGATCATATCTCTTAATGTTGTGGGACGGTATGGCTGCGCATATGGAGATGGGCCAACAGGCAGTTCAAAAATGAGACCAAAAGAATGCCGTTGAACATTATGATAGTACCCACGACAATTGAGGCTCAGGAACCCGGAAGGTTTCTCTTTATGTCTCAACATGCTTGCAAGTTCTTCTACTCTAGCAAACAGCTCTTGACCAACATTGCCGACCCATTGTAGGTCGTATTCGAGCCACTCGATGAGAACTGGCACGCTCGCATCTGAATCAGTCGGCTCCTTCAGTTCGGCGAGACTTGATCGTACGTCAAACACTTCTTGGATATTGACTTGCGTTGCTTCGAACCTCTCCACCAATCCTGATGCGACGTTAGCACCAGATGCCGACATGAGCTTTGCAACACCCAGAAGGCGAAGGTTGTGCAAAGGAGATGCTTCACTAAGATCGCTTGGGATCCTTTCGAGCTCGTCCAAGTTATTATTTTGAAGAAATTGAATCTCAATGGCACTCGTAATCTTGTCTTGGAGCCGCTGCTGGAGGAGGCCCATGAGTTTGTCCACATGACGTCGTAATTGCCGTAATACAGGGCTGAAGGGCAGTTCATTGTAATTCCAACCATTAAGTGTATCTAGAAAGGCATTCAACGCGGAAAAACATTGATTGATATCGTTGAATTCGACTCCCGTCCGCAAAGAACTGGTAAATTTGTCCCAATTTGCTTGAGGGTCGTCTAATCCGGTGTTCGTAGCCCATGATCTGTGCCGCTCATGCTCCACCGCTAGGGTATACGCCTCTGCCTGGGATTTTGATAAGGTATTCATCTTCTCGTCTAAGGAATGAGACTGGGATCTTATAGCTAAGAGGCTAAGTGAAGAAGAAACCGAAGCAGCATCTGGCCGTTTGGGTGGATCAATCTCGAGCATTTGTAATATAAGGGTAAAAACAACCGAAAAATTTGAGGGCGCGATTTTTTCCAGCTTTGATATCCAGGATTGGACGAATGGATGCGATTTCCCTCCCTGGTGGAATTGAGAGAAGGTCCAATTCATGACTTTCGCCTTGCGGCCTTCTTGGAACTGTCGAACGCCGTTCGATCCCATAAGCATGTATGTCACTACCTCGGAGATGATGCAACCGAATGCCCAAATGTCGCTTTTCCGTCCAACTAAAGATCTTTCAAATATAATCTCACCAAACTCGCACTCTGGTGCCGCATAGTTGCTGTCAGCGCCTTGAAATAAGGTTTTGGAGTCGGCGTTCAACGGCTTCAGTCGTGACAGGCCAAAATCGGCGAGAAGGAATCTGTTCTTTTCGATAAGGATATTTGATGGCTTCAGATCGTGATGGCAGCCAATCATACTGATATTGAAACCAGGGGAGTAGAATTCATGGAGTGTTGCTAGAGCAGAAGAGATGCCCTGCAAGGCGACAAAAAAGGCAGTGTCGGTTTCAAATTCTGGCATCCTCCTATCTTGCGAGAGGAACTGATAAAGGTTGCATTCCGCAGGGAAGAACAGTAGGTTGTATGACCCACGATGTAAGTATGTGGTTACAAGGCGGACAATGTTTGGGTGATCAACGAGGCGGAGGGTAGACAAGATATCCCCTTCGGCGGAGATGGAGGATCCTGCTACGGACTCTGCCGATATCTCAATCTGTTTCCTCACGAGTTTTATTTCCTGGACTGTATGTTAGACGTAATGCAGTTTTTGGGTTTTACTGGGGCCACGGGATTTCCTACTGTTTTAATATCGGTTGCCCTAAGTATTCCTTGGTGGTGAGGATGCAACACAACCTCGGAGACGGAGCCAAAAGCGCCTCTACCAATAGAAGAGCTCAATATGAACGGCAGCACAACATCAGGATCTAAGGTGCGATGCGAGAGATCATTCCGAAAGTATGGTGAAACAAACATCCATTGTTTCTGAAAAAAATTCTTGGCAGGGCTATTTCCGATGATGCTCACCAACCCCGGTACGGGCTGATTTAGCGACGATGCTGCAACTATAATTTTTTTCGCAAAATCAAAATTACGATGAATCGCGATTTATTTAATGGCCACATTTTATATGGAAAACACACCTAATTATGGCCAAATACGCAACTCCCATGCATCATAGTCAAATGTATCCAGTAGTATTACTCTGTTCTCGCTTTTTTGAACTGCCCCCGATTATCCCTACGCCTATTCCCCGGCCTATAATCACCATCCCCTGGTAATTCCTTCTCTCCATCGTCAAGATCTGAATTATCGTCGTCATCGCTTGATATAATCACCTCCCGCTTCCTCTTTAATATAGACTTCAGAGGACGTTGAGTGGGTGGAGCGGGAGCGGGAGCGAACGCTAGTAAAAACGTCAGATCTACTAGTATATTTAAATCTATTAACTTACTAGGTATAGAAGCAGGAGCAGGAGCAGGAGCAGGAGTAGGATCAGGAGTAGGAGCAGGAGCAGGAGAAACCGTAATTCTAGCTTCTAGCGTAGGCATATCGTCGTCTGAATTAAAATCGTCAGAATTCAGGTCGTCACCTGACCAATTCTTTGAAGGAGCAACCTTCTCCCATATAGCTTCGATCTGTTAATTAGGAGTCGAAGCAGGTAAAGAAGATGCCGTAGATATAACTGTAGATGTAGATACTACGTTAGGGGTGGTATCGGGAGAGTCTCCTAATGGGGGGCTAAAATCTAGGAGGTAAGGCATCTCTCCATCCCTTCTTTCACGCTTATCCTGAATCTCGTCGTCTCTTGCCTGAATTTTATTAATATCTTAATCAAATATAAGATAAATATGCTTTGGCGTTCTCTTATTTGATTGGCTGAAGTGGGATAATAAGCCGTTAATAGTATTTTCAGCTCCATATATCAGATTAGTCACATGGTCGATTCTCTTGTTTTTGTCCTTTGGCCATACCTGATTATATTAGTACTAATTATATTAGGATACTAATAAATAATAGCTTACTTTAGTAGCAAAAGACACCCTATTTGCGCGTTCCAAGATCGTGATCCATTGATTAAGCTCCCAGTCTTCAAGTAACGGAATTGACGATAAAAAAGCCTTGGCTAAATACATAGCGAACTCCTTGTATGATAGTTCTTGACTATAATAAAGTACCATATTAGCAAAGAGGTGTGTATTTCTATAAATAAGCTTTACGTACGTATTAAACTGTTCTACTATCTGTAGCTCAATTTGAATATTTTGAGCCTCCCGATACTCTTCTAAGCTAAGGAACTTCTTTGTGGTTGAAACAGGTATACTCCTCCCAGTGAAGCTACTCTCTAGTTCTTCTATTTCATATATACGTAGTATAATAGAAATAAGGACCTTATATCGTTTTTCGATAATAGGAGCAGGAGGGATCGGCGATTTACCCTTACTAAAAGCCCTTACACGTGCCCCCTGGCCGAGAGTAAGGGAACCAAGGGCTTTACCCCTTTTAAGGGCTGAACCTAATAAAATTAGTATTAATATAGGAGTTAAACAGATGGATACGCACTTTCGCCCTGAGCTTCCTAATGGAAATTACCACGTAATCGCTCTAAACGCTCGAGCTTAGCCTGCTGTCTCCTCTCACGTGCTTCTGATTCAAGGACCTCCTCTGAGAGATCCATGCCCGGGGAGTGGTAAAAAGGATAGGAATCAGCTGAGATATTAACCCCTTGGTCTCTTGATAGCTAGGCGGCAGTATTCTGAAGTTAAGTTTGACTAGAAAATGGTGTACCATCTAATACAATAGTCGGTATAGCTGAAGTAGGAGTAATAGGAGCAGGAGGAGGAGTAGCTGGGTTAATCGCATCACATAGTGGACACTTTACTATAGAGGGGGGGTGTGGTGCCTCCCGTATAAAACAAGAGTTCCATAGATTAAGATTATCTATTAAAAACGTTTGGGGATAATATAATAAGGATCTGATTTATAATTAAATATTAGAAGGAGGGTGTAGCTAATAAATCTATAGTTTAGTGAATGGTAATATGAAGTCAAGTAGCAGGATAGAACTATAATATATTAATATTATTTTAACCCTTTAGCCCATGCCCCTATAACTTTTTCCCTAGGGAATTTATGTATTAGAGACTTATTTTGGAGGTTATTAATAGTAGTGTATTACTAATATATAAAAAGGGGTAAATGGAAGGACTGCAAGGGATACCCCTTAGCACAAGTTAAATTCGGACATATTTTATTTATCCCTAGCATTATTCCTATATAAACTATGGTTTCCTATACTAGGGGCTATAGAATATTAAGTAAGGGGCTATAGAAATTAAGGGGGGGAAACTAAATTTCATATGAAAAGAGACATTTTCACTAAATATGTCTTGTAATTACTTTAAAAGTTCTCAAGAACTATTAATTCAATAGAGCTAGTATTAACGGAGAATTTGATCTATACTATGGACTCCTTGCTACTAAAATAACAAGTTAATAAAATAATTATAGGGGGTGTGGAAAATAAAGGGGCAAGGGTCGATTTTCTGACGAGGTAAATCATGTGACCTTTTGACATTAAACTACCTGTAACTATGTGAATTTAACTAATTAAGCAGACTACTATTAGCTTCTGTAATTAATTGCTTTACCAAAAATTAATGTTTTTAGCTAGTTCTTTCTTTAGGATATATATTAATATGTCCCTGTTCAGCCTCTCTGAGGCCGGGTAAACCAACTAATATTTACAGGAGGAATTTCTAGATTATCCTCCTCCTCCGCTTCAGGCTCAGATACGTATCCATTATCCATAAACTGTCTATACTCTTGACTATTTATGACCCAATTGCCATTTGCCCTATTAAAAGTAATACCATCTATAGTAAATCTAGTATCCTCCGCATTATCTTTAACCTCCGCTTCGTCGTCAGAGCCAATATAGGTGAGATCTTTATCTCTATAGCTAGCGTCTCTCCCTTCATTAATGAACTGAATACCATCTTGATTATTATAATCCTTTAGCCTTGCCTCTTCTAGTCCCATAGCTACCTCTGGTAATGGATTCCAATCATATATACCCTTAGGTATTAATAAAAGCCCTAGCTTTGGACGAGTATTCTTCGTATTAATTAGGTGGTCGCTAATCGACTCCCTTAGATATATATACGTACTCAGGTGGTTCAGATCCCTATTCGAGTCACGTGTAGACTCCGTAATTGGGAGTATAAAGCCGGCATTCTTAAGCTCTTGCTCATACCACTCAAGTGTAACCTCCGGTAAATATGCGTCTTTATTATAGCTAGCATATCCTTCACGTAGCTCGTTTAGTTTATTAATATTAATAGGAATCCCGTAGTCCCTGACCCCTATCTGCTCTAAAAACATGTAGTTCTGGAATGGTTGACCAGGGACGATATATGGACGATTAGGCTATTTCCTAATTAAATGGATATTCCAAACCCGGACGAACTCCTCAGTTTGCTCCCGTATAATAGGTAAATAGACGAAAAGCATAGCGATATAGTCAGGGAGAAGTTTGCGGGAGTAAAGCCTTTAAGAGCGTAGTTACTTAAAAAATATCTTCCATTTATTTAGCATGCCCTATATAATATTAGCTAATTAAATAAGTCTATATGGGATTAGTATAGATAAATTACCTTCGCAACTTGCCCCCACCATGCCTCAATTCGTTAATTAGCTGTACTAGTCCCGAACTAATAGAGATCTGAGAACTGATATGGATTAATACCCCTTGTTTGGCACGTCGCTTTATAGAGGATATAATGGGCATCAGTAATTATGGGTGTTTCGCATCCTCTATCCGATCGAATATGGAGCGGAATAACCTCCATTTCGTCTACCAAGTCAAGGTATTGCACTAGGATAGTAACCTGGAAAGTGGTATAAGTAAGTATATATCAGTATAATATTAATTAGCCTAAAGGAGAATGTGGTGTGGAGATTCAGGGGGTTTATCGCCTAAATTAAGGGTTTTTCAAATAACTAGTTCTCTATAATACTACAGAATTACATAGCCGGAATCACGACTAAGTGAATTTTGGCATTTTCAAGGGGATGTATTCATACCGAATTAGGAAATACTACTACTTATAGCACAACTATTTGAGATTCTAATATAAATCCAAGGTACGAACCGTGAGTAGGCATTAATACCAGCATATATCTTAATCCCACAAAATCGTAGCTAAGTAAACGGATTAGTAGTTATTAAGATAATGATTTTTGAAGTTAAGTATATGCTGCACTTACCTTGCAATAGCCATTGATAGACCAAACAAAGTTTGGCCCATGAATATTATATTCCCCCCTAGCTGCCTTTATCTCTTCCGAGCGACGTTATATACTTTCTGGATCAATTTCCTACATTATAGAAGCTATTCTATTCCTAGAAAACTTCTGGCCATTCCCTAGGGAGTTGAGATAAGTATATAGAAGCCGGCAGCCATAACTTCTAGTATTGCCTTGTGGGCCTTTATCCACTGTGTGTTGCTTGAGGATATGGCGAAGTTGCTCCTTTTCTAGCTCAACTTGCGAATTAAGCATTCGACGTCGAAGGCCCATAGCCCGGCGAGCTTGTTGTAATAGTCGTAGATTAGGAATGTCATATCCTAAGCTCCGGAGGTTGGTAAGTATATTGGCATCAGTCGTATGGATATCACAAAAGAACCAGGCGATAAGACCCTTCACCTGCGGCGAAGGATCAAATATCGAACGTTTAGAGGGCGTTTTCCATTCGGAAAGCCTACTGCGTAGCGTTCTCAGGGAAATATCAACGTCAAAGTCATGCTTTAACCTCTCCACAATAGTCTCATGTGACAGCTGCTGCTCAATTAAACAAAGAATATGGGCTTAATAGCACATAATATTAATCTTGAAACGACCCATTATAAAGAGTTTAATGATAATAGATCAATAGTATTAGAAATAATAACGTAGGAACAAAAGTATGAACGAAGTATGCCAGATGGCTAGTAGGCCAGGGGGCATATCACGTGCATTTTATTAATTTTTCCTACCCTATTGCATTCCTACCATGGAATGCGATAAAACACCATATAGATCGACTGTTTTAATTGTATTCTACCATAGAAATTAGCTAGACTATTAATAATAGCACATTTTTAAAATATCGTAATTTTGATTTTGCGAAAAAAAATTATAGTTGCAGCATCGTCCTTAAAGGAGCCCGTACCCGGTTCAGATAAGGGCAGTTTTGCATCAAGCTTCTCGATCTGAAATTGATCATGCTCAACGAACTTCCGTATCAACACCTCATTGTGAATCAATATCAAAATAGCAAATATCTTTCGAGCCCCGGATATTATGATCGAAATCGTTTCCTCTTGATGCTGCACTTCAATGCCACATTGTTTTACCAAGTCGCGAACGGTAGACTCGGTAAGCAATTCTTCGATATCTTCAGCCGGCACAAAGTACGCAGATTCGAAATTCTTGGTCTGCAACCCAATAATGCGGTCTTCAATCGAGTCCATCGAGCGAGGATCCGGTTTCGAGTGGGCTAGCGCTCTCAGGACCTTGTGCGGCAGGTTTCGATCTCGGCCTCAACGGTCAACGTTAGTATGCAAACGTCAGGCTTGCGTGAAAAGCTTACCTCGGTCAGCTCTTGAGGGACTGCGAGAATGTAAACTTCAGACTCGACCTTTAACACAGGGTGTTAGTGTTAGCTCGATTAATCTAATATCCGGATCACCCCAGACCGCACTCACGTACCTCAACTTGGAACCCGCCAGCCCCGAATTTGGCAATCAGCAGGTTGTTCAGTAGCGATTTGTCGAGGTATTTCTTGTGAATCTTCTGCTTGATCATAATGATGGCGGCTGGATTTTCGAGGTGATCTAGCAAAATAGGGCAGTTGTTCACGAACTTGGACAAGCTGCACTCCAATTGATGCTGGACAACGTAGCGCTTACTCATCCACAAATGAAGACCTGAGGCTCAAATGCATCCCGTGCAGCCCGTTACGTCGGCCAATTGCGAGAATCTAAATCGTGCATGTCCCTTAACGCTGCTGTCTGAAATATGGCTCAAGATCCTCAGAAAATACACACGATCTCCGGAATCCTGTATATCGATTGTTTCAAGTATGCCAAATTGGGGATGGAGAAGCAGGCTGTTCAAGTTGCACGTGACACGTCCGTACGAGTGAGCCAATCATGAAACCCGCACAGCGACCGCTACAACTTCAGATAACTGAGCCAGCACAGCCTCCACATCATCCAAATGCATATTCGACAAATGCGTAGGCTACCAGTCAACTATTGTCGTCACGTCGGCTACCTTAGGCATCAACGCTTAGTCACAAGCACGTGTCAAAACTTATGTCATATTGTCATTATCACCTGTTTATACGTAATATGTGTCACATGTAGTTAGGTAAGCTCGTGCGGACCTAGGTATAAGGTTTGGACAGCTCCCAGAATTGAGACTTACGTCCTTTTTTACTCTCTCGAATCACAGTAGATCCAACAATGGCTCCGGAGGGATCCTGGTCGGAGCCAAAACAGGACCCGCCCGTAGAGACGAGACGAGGAAAGTGTAACCGGGCCTCAAGGGAGCCAAAACGAGCCCCTACGGATACTAAAATAGCTGCTGAGGCTTATTTAGCGTGCTCAGGCAGGGCTCCGGCGATGCTCAGGTGCTCACCCTCGGGTTACGCTTGCTCACCCATATCCCAGGGTAATGCAGCAGCAGCTCAGGTCCAGAGCCAGAAATGGAAAACGGCATGAGAACATTCCCATACTGAATTACCTGTTTCCCGATACTACCACTAAAGTCGTACTCAACTTCTTTTTTCGCTGATTCTGTTTTAGTGTTTGGACGTGAGCAGCTGCCGCCTTAACCTGAGCCGAGGGTGAGCATTCCTGAGCATACCTGAGCATACCTGAGCACGTCCTGAGCTCGGCCTGAGCTCGGCCTAAGCAGCCTGAGCATGCGCTGAGGGGCCATTTTAGCTCCCATAAGGACTTGTTCCGGCTCACTTGATGCCCGGTTACAGTTTCCTCATTTTGTTTCCTATTTTGGCTCCCTTGCAACCAAGATTCCCTTGAGCTCCCTGATACCTCGCGTGCCCTGAGTGCCCTGTAGAGCTGATACTTTCAGCTCTCCTCCCGGCTTCTCCGGGCTGAACGTTCAAGGCATTCAGCTCTGTTCGCTCAGGGCATTCAGCGTGGCGACAGTGGCCAATTGCCCCTATGCCACAAGTGCCTCAGGCACTTAGAAATACAATAGAAACCCTCACCATCTAAATCACTTCTTTATATTATCGTACGTTTGGACCACCCTTAAGCGGTTGGCTCTCGGGGCTCCTTAAAAAAAACGGGTCACGTGAGGAATACCAGAATCTTCTCTTTCTAGGGAATCGCGTATCGGAATGCGATTACGTTTAAATCCTTAGGGCTCAGCTTAGGATAAGAGAGGAGAAGCTCAAGTACCTTTCTCTATATTTTAGTAGTTCTGGAATGCGAGGGCCTTTTATTATGATTTTTTAAAGCTTGGGGGGAAATCTTAAGCTAGGGATCTTATAGAATATACTAAAAAAAAAAAAACCTGGCCTCATATTACTTTCCTCTCTTTCTTCTCTTTATTACTATGGATCCTTCCCGCTTTTATACTTCCTATAAGCAGAACCGGCCTGCTTCTAACTTTATTACGGAGCGGGCTAAGCTATATAAGACTTGCTATTATTATCGAGTTTATATTCTCCCCCTTTTCTGGCTTAATTAACTAGTTAATAGGCCTGAAATACTAGTAATTATATCTAGTAATACCCTGCCTTATAAGAACTTAATCTAAATATTCTTCCTATCTCCTAGTAATAATAATAATTAATTACGGATATTTCTATAGACAAGCCAGCCCTATAGCACTAGTAACGGATCCGTTAACCGTCTATTATAGCTCTAGTTTATATTATAGAGAATTCTTTTACTAACCTACTTACTATATAGCTTCCTGCCTTTCTTTCCTGCTTCTGGCTAGCTACTATATATATAACTAGTCCGCTTATAGATTACTATATAGCTTATAGAGCTCTTTATTTTAGTTATATAAATAATTACTTTAAGGCCTATTATAAAAAGAGTAATATAATACTTTCTCTAATCTGCAAGCCTCCTCTATATCTCTCTTATTTTTTTATAGGTAATAACTTGCTTTACTAGGCTTTCCAGACAAATATCCGGATATATAATTATATTTTTGCCTTTATATTAATTAGTTATAAGAAAAATATCCGGATTAACTTCTCTTATAAGATCTAGTACTTTTAGATTTATAGTAAGCTCTTTTACTTTTAAGGCCCGCTATAGCCTGCTTTATATACTAAATTCTCTTTTATATAGCTCTTCTTTTATAACTCGCTTTTTATAACTAATATACGGGCTATTAATTTCCCTTACTTAGATTATATAGTTCTTTTATAGCTTATAAATATATTTACTACTTATAATCCGTTTATTATAGTCTATAAAATAGCCCGTAAGTGTCTTATAAGTTAATAAACCGATTTCCGGGTTTTATTTAATCTATAAATATACTTAATTCTTAAATTAGATACTAATTATTATTATAAGAACCTCCTAATAAGTAATAAGGTTATAGTTCTTATTCCGGACAAATATATAAATATAAGCTATTATTAGTATATTAAATAATTTAGCTTGATTTAATTATTGCTTCTGAATTAAATTAAATTAAGTCAAAATCTATTTAATTAAATCATAATTATAGTTAATTATTTAGTCACGTGATTATATACGTATACTCGGAGATTAGAAAAGCGAAATAAGGCTAAAATAAGGCTTAGGCTAGCCCGTATCCGGTATTACTTAAGGTGCTCCTTACTAAATCGGGTATCATATTACTTGGTAAGCAAAGTAGTACTAGCCAAAAGTACTAAAATCTCCTTGATTTTCTCGTAATTTCTCGCTATCTTATAAATCTTATTATTATAAATAAAATAGTTAAAAATAGGCCCTCTTATAAATGGGCGCTTTAATATTAGGGAATTATATCTAATTAGATGCTTATTAAAGAATATTCTAGATTCTAGAAGTTTTATATATAAATAAGTAATTTTCCTTAAGTTATTTCCTTTTCTCTTATTTTATATATAAATATCTCAATAACTATAGCTCTAATTAAGAAGCTTTTAACTATAAACTTACTTATTTTTACTTAATATATTTGAAAATGTTTTAATAATCTTTAATTAATCTTAATATTCCTTAAAGTAGGAAGAAATAAAAAAAGTAAAAAATAAGAATAAAAAAAATAAAAAAGAGGTTTCTAAGAAGAATAATTAGTTTTTTATACTAGATCTAGACTAGCTTTATATTCTTATATATATTTTATAAGCTTTGTTTATATCTTATTAATATAGCTATTAATTATTTAATAATTATTTAAGTTACTTAAGAAATTCAAGTTTTCTTAGTATTATATAATAATTATAGTTAATTATAATTAATTATAATTATAATTAAATTAAATCAAGTCAAAATCTACTAAATTAAATCATAATTAACTATAATTAACTATAGTTAATTATAATTAATTAGCCTTGATTTTTTTTAATATACTAGCTATTATAATCTGGTATTTATAATTTATAAAGCAGGCTATAAGTATTTATAAATATATATAATTAATATTATATATATAATATATATATTACTTTATTATATCTTACTTTTCTTATATAATAACCCGAACTAGTATTATGATTTATAGTTATAAGACTATAATAAAACTTATTAATAAATATGGCTCGAGTAATAGGTTTTTTACTAGTACTATTTCTATATTTATCTAGCCTTTTCCTTACTTTTTTATATTAGCTATCTCTTTTAGTAATATATTATTAATATATATATTACTTATAAGATTACTTTACTTAACTAGCTTTATTTATACTAGTAAAATATTTATATAAATATATATATAGAACTTGCAAATACTTTAATTTATAAGAATATTTATATAAATAATATTAGCTATTATTTTATTTTCTTATTAAGCTTTACTAGTAGTAATTATTTTATATAATAGCTTTTTTAAAACTTAATAGCTATTATATAGTACTTTAGTAAGCTAAGCTTCTTTATTATTTTTATAGTTAACTTATACTAGCCTAAAATTATAGATTATTTCTTAAATAAATAATAAGTTATTAATTATCTAAATCTCTTTTACTAGATCTTTATATTAAAAATAAAAGAGCTATTTATAAACCTAAAGAATTATTTTTTCGGATTATATATAGACTATATATATATAATTAAATATTAGAAATATAGCCTCTTATATATATATTTATTCTTATTTTTTTTTAGGAAAGAAGCTATTTTCTTAATTCCTGATTTAGTTAATAAAGTTATTTATACTAAGCTCCCAGATCTATTATAGGATCCTATAAGTAAACTTATAATTATAGTAACTAGTTAGATATCTTATAGATTATATAGTTTTGAAAATAATTTAAAAGCCTTATATATAGTTTATAAGATATTTATAGCCTTACTTATATATTAGAAGAAGTTCCCTAAAATATTTATAGTATAATAGCGGGATTAATATAATAGTTAAAGGCTTAAAGTTTAAAGAATCTCATATATTAGAAAATACTAAGCTATGAAATAAAATAGGAAAAATACCTTAACCTTTAGTATTATTCCGTTCAAGTAATTCTGGCTTAGCTTTATTTTATATCTATTTCTAATATCCTATCCTTAATAGATTATACCCTTATATTAGCTATTATATTACCCTCTCCTAAAAAGAAATCTAAATGCCCTTATTTAGGGAATTATTTAGTTATAATATAGAAAAGAAAAAAGAGGAAATAATAGCTATTAATCCTATTTTA